GTGTTGGGTGAGCAGAGCTGTGGTGCTGTCTTTGGCTGGTCTGGTGTTGAATCAATCAAATGTATTTATAAAGCTCTTTTTACATCAGCAGATGACACAAAGTGCTATACAGAAACCCAGCCTAAAACCCCAAACAGCAAGCAATGCAGAAGCATGGTGGCTAGGAAAAACTCCCTAGAAAGGCAGGAACCTAGGACAAGAGAGAGGAACCAACAGATCTGTGGTGCTGTCTTCGGCTGGTCCCGATGCTGAAGGTAGTGCAGCCTTCCACAGTGCTGAACTTGGTTTCTAATGAAGACCATGATCTTAATTCTAGAGGTATCGTTGCCCATAATTATACCTCGACTCACAGGTGTGATTTATTTTTGAGAGGGCGGGACAACTGTGACATTGGCCAAATGTACAGTACCTTCAGAAAGTATTCATACCCCTTGACTTAGTCCACATTTTGTTGTGTTACAGACGGAATTTGATGTGTATTTTTAGTGGACTATGAGATAAAACTGGGTTAATCACAAACATAGAGTTAGAATTATTTGTTACGGGGCCAGGAATTGAATTGGATAATTTAATTGTGTGTTTGTGGGGGCTAAAGAGGGAATCTGACCTAGGGTCAAATTGCTCACTCTTACTTAAATCCATGGCTGTCTTATCAGAGACTGAAACTAGCTTGTGGCCTTTTGTTTCTCTCTTCAAACACAGTGAAGGGAGCGGCACCAGGGTTGAATGCAGTTTGGGCTAGACCTTTGTCTCTCCTCGGCTAACTTCTTGATAAATTACAGCAAGATGGTGGGGTTTGTGTATGTTTCAAGGATTTAGGGCCCTGTCATGTTTAAACTAAACATGAGTGTTTCTGCAAGACAGGGGAGTGATTGATTGTAGTACTATGTGATTCTGAACATAATAAAAGTCGAATTTAGCCGCCCTCAGAGACAAAGGAAGTGGGCAGAGTGATAAAGAGCGGGAAACTGAAGAGGGAGGGATTTTGAGCTAGAAGAGAGGTGGATGGGCTATATAACTGGGGGAGAGAGAGAAAAAAGGGAGGCTACTCTGCAGACCAGCTTCCTTTTATTGAAATTCAATAAAGTAAATCTTGATTCAACAAAAACTCTGTAAGAACTTTGATTTTTAATAAAGTATAGTGATTAATTTCCACAACAAATTCACAATGGATTAAATATATAAATTAAATATACACACAATACCCCATAATGACAAACTGATTTATTTTTATTGTTGGACATTTATTGAAATTGAAATTGAAATTGAAATATCAAATTTACATAAATATTCACAACCCTGAGTCAATACTTTGTAGAAGCACCTTTGGCAGTGATTACAAGCATACCCATAACACGATGCAGCCACCTCTATGCTTGAAAATATGGAGCATGGTACTCAGTAATGCGTGGTATTGGATTTGCCCCAAAGATAATAAAAAAAGTGAATTGCTTTGCCACATTTTTTTTGCAGTATTACTTTAATGCCTTTTTGCAAACAGGATGCATGTTTTGGAATATTTTGTTTTCCTTCTTTTCACTCTGTCAATTAGGTTAGTATTGTGGAGTAACTACAATGTTGTTGATCCATCCTCAGTTTTCTCCTATCAGAGCCATTAAACTCTGTAACTGTGGCCTCATGGTGAAATCGCTGAACGGTTTCCTTCCTGACCAGCAACTGAGTTAGGAAGGACGCCTGTATCTTTGGAGTGACTGGGTGTATTGATACACCATCCAAAGTGTAATTAATAACTTCACCATGCCCAAAGGGATATCCAATGTCTGCTTTTTACACATCTACCATCTCTTTGCGAGGCATTGCAAAACCTCCCTGGTCTTTCTGGTTGAATCTGTGTTTGAAATTCACTGCTCGACTGAGGGACCTTACAGCTAATTGTGTGTGTGGGGTACAGAGATGAGGTAGTCATAAAAAAATCTTGTTAAACACTATTATTGCACACAGAGTGAGTCCATGCAACTTATTATGTGACTTGTTAAGCAAATCTTTACTCCTGAACTTTAGGCTTGCCATAACAAAGGGGTTGAATACTTATTGACTCAAGACATTTCAGCTTTTCATTTTGTATTAATTTGTTTAAAATCCACTTTAACATTACGGGGTATTGTGTGTAGGCCAGTGACAAAATATATACATTTAATCCATTTTAAATTCAGGCTGTAACACAACAAAATGTGGAAAAAGTCAAGGGGTGTGAATACTTTCTGAATGCACTTTGTTCGTATGGTCACTGTGGGGACGACGTCGTCGATGCATTTATTAATGAAGCCGGTGACTGATGTGGTATACTCCTCAATGCCATCGCATGAATCCCGGAACATATTCCAGTCTATGCTAGCGAAACAGTCCTGTAGCTTAGCATCCGTTTCATCGGACCACTTCTGTATTGAGCACGTCACTGGTACTTCCTGTTTGAGTTTTTGCTTGTAAGCATGAATCAGGAGGATAGAGTTACGGTCGGATTTGCCAAATGGAGGGCGAGGGAGAGCTTTGTACGCATCTCTGTGTGTGGAGTAAAGGTGTTGTAGTTTTTTTTCCCTCTAGATGCACATGTCACATGCTGGTAGAAATGAGGTAAAATGGATATCAGTTTTTCTGCATTAAAGTCCCAGGGCACTAGGAGCACCGCCTCTTGTTTGCTTATGGCTTTATCATGAGGTACTCCAATTCAAGCGAGCAAAACCTTGAGACTTCCTCCCATATACAGTGCATTCAGAAAGTATTCAGACCCCTTGACTCTTTCCACATTTTATTATGTTCCAGCCTTATTTTTTTAAAAAATCCTCATCAATCTACACACAATACCCGATAATGACAAAGCAAAAACAGTTTAGAAATGTTTGCTAATGTATTAAGAATAAAAAACTGAAAATATTATATTTACATATGTATTCAGACCCTTCACTCAGTACTTTGTTGAAGCAGCTTTGGCAGCGATTAAAGCCTATAGTCTTCTTGGGTATGATGCTACAAGCTTGGCACACATGTATTTGGGGAGTTTCTCCCATTCTTTTCTGCAGATCCTCTCAAACTCTGTCAGGTTGGAAGGGGAGCATCGCTGCACAGCTATTTTCAGGTCTCTCCAGAGATGTTAGATCGGGTTCTAGTCCGGGCTCCAGAGGAACTCTGCAGCTCTGTCAGAGTGACCATCGGGTTCTTGGTCACCTCAATGACCAAAGCCCTTCTCCCCGATTGCTCAGTTTGGCCGGGCGGCCAGCTCTACGAAGAGTCTTGGTGGTTCCAAACTTCTTCCATTTAAGAATGATGGAGGCCGATGTGTTCTTGGGGACCTTCAATGCTGCATAAATGTTTTGGTACCCTTCCCCAGATCTGTGCCTCGACATAATCCTGTCTCGGAGCTCTACGGACAATTCCTTCGACCTCATGGCTTGGTTTTTGCTCTGACATGCACTGTCAGTTGTGGGACCTTATATAGACAGGTGTGTGCCTTACCAAATCATGTCCAATCCATTGAATTTACCACAGGTGGACTCCAATCAAGTTGTAGAAACATCTCAAGGATGATCAATGGAAACACGATGCACCTGAGCTCAATTTCGAGTCTCATAGCAAAGGGTCTGAATACTTATGTAAATAAGGTATTTCTGTTTTCATACATTTGCAAACATTTTTAAAAACCTGTTTTCGCTTTGTCATTATGAGGTATTGTGTGTAGATTGATGAGATCTTACCGGAGGCTGCTGTTCTGTCTTGCCGATGCACAGAACTCACCTGTATATTATTAATGTTCCTGTTCAGCAACGACTCGGTGAAACATAGGATATTACAGTTTTTAACGTCCCGTTGATAGGATAGTCTCGAACGGAGCTCATCCAGTTTATTCTCCAGTGATTGCACGTTCGCCAGTAGAACGAAGGGTAAAGGCGGATTATCCACTCGCCGACACAGTCTGGCCAGGCATCCAGCTCTTCGACCTCTGTATTGGCGTCTCCTCTTCATACGAATGACGGGGATTTGGGCCTGGTCTGGGAGGAGCAGTATATCCTTCGCATCCGACTCATTAAAGAACAAAACCTCGTCCAGTTTGAGGTGAGTAATCGCTGTTCTGATGTCCAGAAGCTCTTTTCGGACATAAGAAACGATGGCGGAAACATTATGTACGACTAAAATATACAAATTTGCACAATTGGTCAGGAGTCCGTAAAATGGCGGCCATCCCTTCCGCTGCCATTCTCGCAGTCTTATGGCTTGGGGGTAGAAGCTGTCTCAGACCCTGTTGGTCCGAGAGCCGATTCTCCGGTACCGTTTGCCGAACGGTAGTAGAGTGAACAGTCTATGGCTTGGGTGGCTGGAGTCTTTGGCAATTTTTTGGGCCTTCCTCTCACACAAGTGGTCCTGGATGGTAGGGAGTTCGGCCCCAGTGATATACCCTCTGTAGCGCTTTGCGGTCGGTGCATTTGCCATACCAAGCCGTGATGCAACCAGTCACACATGTTGCTGCATTCCATATTACTTTAATTTACATTGGTCTTCAATAGCTTTATTTTTGCAGAAGAGTAGCCTCAGTGTAGGCATAATTGAGCTATACTTTGGCTAAGTAATTGTCTGCAATTAAAAGTGTTAACTAAATCATTGTAATCGACAGGCTACATTTCCAGTTGAATAATTGTATTTCAGTTGTAATATGTCATTCTTCAATTTATTGTTTTCGTATTTCAATTTCGCTGTTCCTGATAGGTTACTTCATTGGAGGATGAGTAGTGAACGTAGACAATTGCCATTTCTGCTGTCTAGTATCAAGCCGGCTTGACACCGTGACAGTGTCAGATCAGCTGGTGTACTAGTTTATTGCGCTGTTCTTTTCATTGCAACCACGGTTATTTTAGCTTGGAGCTCCGTGTAATCTCCCATTAGTAGCGTGTTAAGAAATCCCTGTTAAATTACGCATCTTCGTTACAATCCACCCACTATCTCTCTCTCTCTCTCTCTCCCCCCCTCCCTCACTCTCTCCCTCCATCCAGAGGATCCAGGGGGTAAGAGGTGACAGAGGGCTGCAGTTCTTTGGGGTTTCGGTGCACTCTGCTGGGGATCTGAATTCAGACGGACTGGCTGATATGGTGGTGGGAGCTAAAGGAGCCGCTTTCATACTGAGGTAGGTTCATAAACACTCAGTAATAAAAAAGGTCACAAAGGAATTTATTCTTACATACACTATGTATACAAAAGTATGTGGACACCCCTTCAAATTAGTGGATTCGCCTATTTCAGCCACACCGTTGCTGACAGGTTGGCAGTAGAATGGCCTTACTGAAAGAGCTCAGTGACTTTCAACCTGGCATCTTCATAGGATGTCACCTTTCCAGCAAGGAGCAACAACGGCTCAGCCGTGAAGTGGTAGGCCACACAAGCTCACAAAACGGGACTGCTGAAGCGCGTAGCGCATAAAATTGGTCTGTCCTCGGTTGGAACACTCATAATTGAGTTCCAAACTGCCTCTGGAAGCAACGTCAGCACAATAACTGTTCTTCGGGAGCTTCATGAAATGGGTTTCCATTGGCCGAGCAGCTGCACACAAGCCTATGATCACCATGTGCAATGCCAAGCGTCGGCTGGAGTGGTGTAAAGCTTGCTTCCATTGGACTCTGGAGCAGTGGAAAAGCATTCTCTGGAGTGATGAATCACGCTTCACCATCTGGCAGTCCAACGGAAGAATCTGGGTTTGGCGGATGCCAGGAGAACGCTACATGTCCGAATGCATAGTGCCAACTGTAAAGTTTGGTGGAGGAGGTATAATGGTCTGGGGCTGTTTTTCATGGTTCGGGCTACGCCCCTTAGTTCCAGTGAAGGAAAATCGTAACGCTACAGCATACAATGGCATTCTAGACTATTCTGTGCTTCCAACTTTGTGGCAACAGTTTGGGGAAGGCCCTTTTCTGTTTAAGCAAGACAATGCCCCCGCGCTCAAAGCGAGGTCCATAAAGAAATGGTTTGTCGAGATCGGTGTGGAAGATCTTGACTGGCCTGCACAGAGCCCTGACCTCAACTACATCAAACACCTTTGGGATGAATTGGAATGCCGACTGCAAGCCAGGCTTAATTGCCCAACATCAGTGCCCGACCTCACTAATGCTCTTGTGGCTGAATGGAAGCAAGTCCAAACAGCAATGTTCCAACATCTAGTGGAAAGCCTTCCCAGAAGAGTGGAGGCTGTTATAGCAGCAAAGGGGTACCAACTCCATATTAATGCCCATGATTTTGGAATGAGATGTTCGACGAGCAGGTGTCACCTCCCTGATCAAGGCCCTTCTCCCCCGATTGCTTAGTTTTGCCGGGCGGCCAGCTCTAGGAAGAGTCTTGGTGGTTCCAAACTTCTTCCATTTAAGAATGATGGAGGCCACTGTGTTCTTGGGGACCTTCAATGCTGCATAAATGTTTTGGTACCCTTCCCCAGAGCTGTGCCTCGACACAATCCTGTCTCTGAGCTCTACGGACAAATCCTTCGACCTCATGGCTTGGTTTTTGCTCTGACATGCACTGTCAATTGTGGGACCTTATATAGACAGGTGTGTGCCTTACCAAATCATGTCCAATCCATTGAATTTACCACAGGTGGACTCCAATCAAGTTGTAGAAAAATCTCAAGGGTTGATCAATGGAAACAGGATGCACCTGAGCTCAATTTCAAGTCTCATAGCAAAGGGTCTGAATACTTATGTACAGTTGAAGCCGGAAGTTTACATACACCTTAGCCAAATACATTTAAACTCAGTTTTTCACAATTCCGGACATTTAATCCTAGTAAAAATTCCCTGTCTTAGGTCAGTTAGGATCACCACTTTATTTGAAGAATGTGAAATGTCAGAATAATAGAGAGAATGATTTATTTCAGCTTTTATTTTTTCCATCACATTCCCGGTGGGTCAGAAGTTTACATACACTCAATTAGTATTTGGTAGCATTGCCTTTAAATTGTTTAACTTGTGTCAAACTTTTCGGGTAGCCTTCCACAAGCCTCCCACAATAAGGTGGGTGAATTTTGGCCCATTCCTCCTGACAGAGCTGGTGTAACTGAGTCAGGTTTATAGGACTCCTTGCTCGCACATGCTTTTTCAGTTCTGCCCACAAATGTTCTATAGGATTGAGGTCAGGGCTTGTGATGGCCACTCCAATACCTTTACTTTGTTGTCCTTAAGCCATTTTGCCAGAACTTTGGAAGTATGCTTGGGGTCATTGTCCATTTGGAAGACCCATTTGCGACCAAGCTTTAACTTCCTGACTGATGTCTTGAGATGTTGCTTCAATATATCCACATATTTTCCTTCCTCATGATGCCATCTATTTTGTGAAGTGCACTAGTCCCTCCTGCTGCAAAGCACCCCAACAGCATGATGCTGCCACCCCAGTGCTTCACAGTTGGGATGGTGTTCTTCGGCTTGCAAGTGCCCCGTTTTTCCTCCAAACATAACAATGGTCATTATGGCCAAACAGTTCTATTTTTGTTTCATCAGACCAGAGGACATTTCTCCAAAAAGTACGATCTTTGTCCCCATGTGCAGTTGCAAACCAAAGTCTGGCTTTTTTATGGCGGTTTTGGAGCAGTGGCTTCTTCCTTGCTGAGCGGCCTTTCAGGTTATGTCGATATAGGATTAGTTTTACTATGGATATAGATACTTTTGTACCTATTTCCTCCAGCATCTTCACAAGGTCCTTTGCTGTTGTTCTGGGATTTATTTGCACTTTTCACAGCAAAGTATGTTCATCTCTAGGAGACAGAACGCGTCTCCTTCCTGAGCAGTATGACGGCTGCATGGTCCCATGGTGTTTATACTTGCGTACTATTGTTTGTACATCCACAGGTACACCTCCAATTGAAACAAATGATGTCAATTAGCCTATCAGAAGCTTCTAAAGCCATGACATCATTTTCTGGAATTTTCCAAGCTGTTTAAAGGCACAGTCAACTTAGTTTATGTAAACTTCTGACCCACTGGAATTGTGATACAGTGAATTATCAGTGAAATAATCTGTCTGTAAACAATTACATGTGTCATGCGCAAAGTAGATGTCCTAACCGACTTGCCAAAACTATAGTTTGTTAACAAGAAATTTGTGGAGTGATTGAAAAAACGAGTTTTAATGACTCCAACCTAAGTGTATGTAAACTTCCGACTTCAACTGTAAATAAGGTATTTCAGTTTTTTATTTTGTATACATTTGCAAACATTTCTAAAAACCTGTTTTCACTTTGTCATTATGCGGTATTGTGTGTAGATTGATGAGTAAAAAAATTAATGTAATCCATTTTAGAATAAGGCTGTAACGTAACAAAATGTGGAAAAAGTCAAGGGGTCTGAATACTTTCCGAATGCACTGTCTGTAACTCCTGAAGCCTATGTCCCCATGAGCTCCCGAGTCTAGCTAACGTTAGCTAGCTAGCGTCGCGAAGTAGCATTTCGCTAGCTGAGCTGTTCTAAAAGAAAATGGCTGATATGAATAACACTGTAGCTAGTTAGCAAGCCCTCCTCAGTGACAATGGTATTGGGGCGCGGAAATGTCAGATTCCTATTTTAATTTTATGTTTACTGTCATTGAAGTTGACGGTTACTACTGGTTTCAGATCAGAGGTGAGACATTTTCCACCGTGTTTTGGTAAGGGATCAGAGTGACATCGCACTCAAGAAGTCTCAACAAATCACCCGATGGGTTCTATGTTGAGACTCATGAATATTCATGAAGTTGCCCCCGCCTTCCTACAGAAGGAAATTTTGCGCACGGGAAAGAACACATTTGTAAAATGATAAATTGTTGCCAGTGGCGATTTTAGCATGTACATTTTGGTGGGGCAAACTCAAAAAACATTTTTGAGATGCAAACCACTACACAACACTAAACAATACATTAATTGCACTATAACGGTGACAAGACGGTGCCCACAAACTGTTAGGGCCTACATAAAGCTGTCCCAACAGCAGAGCTTTCTTTTCAGCACCATGGAGTGAATCCTTACCACTGCTACACCTGGCTATCGGCAGAGCCTTGTCTGGCAGCGAAACAGTTCATTCAGCCTCATTTACTGCCTTTAAAAAAAACATAGCTGATATGGCTGACTTGCTTAAACAAATGTAGTTTCTACTGACAATTGAGATGTACAAAGTGGCATAAGAGGACGACAAGTGGATAAGAGGCAATCAGTAATTTCGATTAAGACATTAATGAGCGCGCTAGGAAGGACGTAGTCAATATAACTATTTGTTCAGCACTTTTGAAATGTACAGCGACAGAATTCAGAACATGGGCCGTTCTTACAGTATTCTCCCGTTGGATAAATAAAGGGGGCATAAGCAGACAATGAAAGCTCTTACAATATTCGATGATTACATTTCTCTAAAACAGAACAGTAGGCTAAGTTATGAGGGGGAAAGGGACCACATTATTAGGGTGAGGCACATGGGCTACTAACAGCTTACTACACAACATACACATAGTATTACTTTCTTAGCTACAGTATACATATCTCCCTGGTATATTACATAATTTATGCAGCAGCATACAATACATTTTTGGACTCACCTTTTTGTTGTGCTCACTTGAACAGGAAGGTGCCGCGGCGGTCCTTCTTGTGGGCAAATTTTGTCATCAAAGTCTGGCGTTCTCTAGATTTATGGTGCTTTCAAGACAACTGGGAACTCTGAAAAAAACAAGTTTGAATCATGACGTCAGTGATCTTCAAGTTGGAGCTCTATAAAGAGGCCCAAGTTCCCGACTTGGAATTCCGAGTTGGATGACCTTTCAAAATGTATTTTCCCAGTCGGAGCTCGTTTTTTTCTGAGTTCCCAGTTGTCTTGAACTCAATGAAGTCTGAGATTTCCCAGTTCCGAGTTTCCAGTTGTTTTGAACGCGGCAGAAGTCATGCTGGATTGACAACACGGCCAATGTATTCAACCTTTTAGGCTAATAGCCTAAACAAACCGTTATAGCTCCGTTATTGTCTTTACATGATTGCACAAACATTTTCTTAGCCTATATTGTTGAGCATTTGACACTATAGAAAACTCACTACAATGCAAAACCCAAACTCACCTCTTTTACCGAACTAATTAGATCCAAATCAACCCCGCCGCAGTGCTGACCTCCTCGGCCCTGCGTTTTGCCTGGGTTGAAAGGCCAGCTTTCTTATTCCCTGTCCTCGAGCTGACGTAATAACTGTGATGCTCACCGGTGGTGCGTTAACTCTTTGACGCATACAACCATGTATTTGTGATCATTGTTGAGTGGTCCCTGTAGCGTACGATCACAAATATGTGATTGGAACATTAGCAACAAAACGTATGATGCAACAAACGCGTCTAAACAGCATTGTCTGAAAAGCATCTAAACAATGTTTTGTACTGATGGGAAATAAAGGTTGTCACAACTTTATTCCTCAATTTCACCTTTTATTGTAAAAGATAAATGCGAACTTCATCATCCAAACATCACATGGAACATCCACAGCTAAACTCATTCCAAAAAAACCAGTCTAAATAACAGGTTGCGCTGACCAAAATAAATACATAAGTTAGCTACCTAGCTAGTTTACAATGTACCACATCTCTCTGAGCACAAGGGAGAAATGTCATATTGTTTAGAACAGAGATGCGTGTCAGCTAAGCTAACAGCAGCTAAATTCTTTGTGATGGCAGCCATGTTTGTTTATGTTTGACTTGGCGAAAACTCCCTAATCCCAGAATGCCATTCACTATAAGACGCAAATAAACAAAGTCAAAGATGCCTGAAAAATATTCACTTAGTTTAGCCACTTTTCAGCATATTACAAATCTTCGATGTACTTGTTACAGTGTATGCAAGAACCAGAGCACATGACTTGACAAGTCGTTTTACCGTTTTTGACAAATCGCAAAGCAAATAAAATGTTATCACCTCACATATCATCACACCAAATACAAGCCTACTGCCTAGCCTCACCGTAACGCGATAGCTAAACAGGGATGAAACCATTTTAGGGGGGTTTGTGAGAGGGTTCATTTCATTTGTGGGGGGTTTTCAAGTCCATGGGGGTTATAAATGGGGAAAGGTATCGTGGGGGGATATGATGCAGGAAATATTACTATGATGGGGGGATTTATCAATAAATGGGGGGCAAACACAGGAGGAGTTTATACGCTAAATTAAAATAAAAGCCCTGGAAAGGGTGGTCTGAGCTGGCAACCCTGAGGTACCAACGTTACAATCTGATGCCGCGTACAAAACAACTGGGAACTCGGAAATCTCCGACTTCCAACTTCAGTGCGTTCAAGACAACTGGGGAAAAAAGGGCTCAGACTGGGATTCTTTTCTTTTTTAATAGTCATCCAACTCAGAATTCCAACTCGGGAACTCAGGCCTCTTTCTAGAGCTCCGACTTTCTGACCTGTAGATCAATGACATCATGGTTAGACCTATTATTTTTCAGAGTTCCCAGTTGTCTTGAAAGCACCATAAGTCAGTCGAGTGAACTTTCCCTTGTTATAACATCTTTGGTCTGACAGACGCTTACGTGACAACCAGAATGCATTGTATGATGTCAACAAACATGGCGCCACACATAGCCAGCAAATAGCTTAGCATTAGCTCATCATAATCAGTACAACCTTCAAAAAAGTATTTTACACACATCATATGTGTCCATTACAACCTATGCAAGAATCAGAATGCATGATTTGTCACCAGTACTTGAAAACGTGAATAAAACAGTAAATACATTATGATCCATACATACATACGGTGTGCTACAGTAGAAACAACAACACGATATACAGAAAATAAGCCACTATTACTTTGATAGGAACACATACATGTCCAAAGTCCAATTTGTAAGGAAAACAACAATGAAGGCAATGCAGGTACCAGCCAGAAAATGTGCTGGGGGAAAAAGTTTGTGCAAGGCCTGTTCTGACTAGAAATGCGCAATATCTTCATACTTGATCTGGGGAAACACAGGGGAAGTGCTTGGGTCTTGACCGGCTCAGTAAAGCCTCAAACACAAATTGTGCTTATGTGAATTAATGAGGAGGCGGAACACACCTCAATTCAAACTGTTGTTAGAAAATAAAACTTGTTAGAAAATAATTTGAAATTCACAAGTTGAAACATAGCCTATAGATAATTAGCAGGCAGCGTGCCTTGATTTGAGGGTAGCGTGGGTTAACTGTCCTGTTGCGTAACAATCACATTTTGGAACAGTGAGTGCATTCTGACATCACGCGCATAAAAAAACTCACGCTGGGGCGACCGTTAGAGATATTTGGAACTCAAGCGTGAAAAGGTTAAGAGTTTCCCCTTTCAAACAGCGAGCCCATCCACACTGAATAAAAACGGTTTTACGGTGTTGTGGAAATTCTTACACAGGGACACTCAAAGTCAATCATAACCTCTTAAGGATCAGACCCTTCGTTTCAATTTCTACCTAAAATGACATACCCAAATCTAACTGCCTGTAGCTCAGGACCTGAAGCAAGGATATGCATATTCTTGGTACTAGTTGAAAGGAAACACTTTAACGTTTGTGGAAATGTGAAATTAATGTAGGAGAACATAACACAATAGATCTGGTAAAAGATAATACAATCAAAGAAACATAAGTTTTCTATTTTCTATTTTTGACATGAAAAATAAAAGCCATACATTCAGACAGGAAGTTGTAGGTAATTTAGAAGTTGTCTATAAGAGGGAAACAGTGTACGTGCAAAGTTTCAGACTGATACCTTCAAGAATGAGGGAGCTACATAACATTTAGTATGAAGTCACCCAGGTGTCCCTCACGAGTTTGCCCAAATGTACCCAAGTGGCCTCCAAGTGGCCGAATTGGTAAAATGATACATTTTCAAGTACAAACAGTGAGGGAAAAAAGTATTTGATCCCCTGCTGATTTTGTATGTTTGCCCACTGACAAAGAAATGATCAGTCTATAATTGTAATGGTAGGTTTATTTGAACAGTGAGAGACAGAATAACAACAAGAAAATCCATGTAAAAAATGTTATAAATTGATTTGCATTTTAATAAGGGAGTATAAGTATTTGACCCCCTCTCAATCAGAAAGATTTCTGGCTCCCAGGTGTCTTTTATACAGGTAACGAGCTGAGATTAGGAGTACACTCTTAAAGGGAGTGCTCCTAATCTCAGTTTGTTACCTGTATAAAAGACACCTGTCCACAGAAGCAATCAATCCATCAGATTCCAAACTCTCCACCATGGCCAAGACCAAAGAGCTCTCCAAGGATTTCAGGGACAAGATTGTAGACCTACACAAGGCTGGAATGGGCTACAAGACCATTGCCAAGCAGCTTGGTGAGAAGGTGACAACAGTTGGTGCGATTATTCGCAAATGGAAGAAACACAAAATAACTGTCAATCTCCCTCTGCCTGGGGCTCAATGCAAGATCTAACCTTGTGGAGTTGCAATGATCATGAGAATGGTGAGGAATCAGCCCAGAACTACACGGGAGGATCTTGTCAATGATCTCAAGGAAGCTGGGACCATAGTCACCAAGAAAGCAATTGGTAACACACTACGCCGTGAAGGACTGAAATCCTGCAGCGCCCGCAAGGTCCCCCTGCTCAAGAAATCACATATACAGGCCCGTCTGAAGTTTTCCAATGAACATCTGAATGATTGAGAGGAGAACTGGGTGAAAGTGTTGTGGTCAGATGAGACCAAAATCGAGCTCTTTGGCATCAACTCAACTCGCCGTGTTTGGAGGAGGAGGAATGCTGTCTACGACCCCAAGAACACCATCCCCATCGTCAAACATGGAGGTGGAAACATTATGCTTTGGGGCGCCATGTACCGTCAAATATTGGGTGAGAACCTCCTTCCCTCAGCCAGGGCATTGAAAATGGGTCGTGGATGGGTATTCCAGCATGACACTGACCCAAAACACACGGCCAAGGCAACAAAGGAGTGGCTCAAAAAGAAGCACATTAAGGTCCTGGAGTGGCCTAGCCAGTCTCCAGACCTTAAACCCATAGAAAATATGTGGAGGGAGCTGATGGTTCGAGTTACCAAACGTCAGGCTCGAAACCTTAATGACTTGGAGAAGATCTGCAAAGAGGAGTGGGACAAAATCCCTCCTGAGATGTGTGCAAACCTGGTGGCCAACTACAAGAAACGTCTGACCTCTGTGATTGCCCACAAGGGTTTTACCACCAAGTACTAAGTCATGTTTTGCAGAGTGGTCAAATACGTATTTCCCTCATTAAAATGCAAATCAATTTATAACATTTTTGACATGCGTTTTTCTTGATTTTTTTGTTGTTATTCTGTCTCTCACTGTTCAAATAAACCTACCATTAAAATGATAGACTGATCATGTCTTTGTCAGTGGGCAAACATACAAAATAAGCAGGGGATCAAATGCTTTTTTCCATCACTGTAACTATAGAGAACATACAAAAATGCTATGGTAATAAAAAATACAAGTTTACACACTCCCAGGAATGTCATACATGATGGATCATTAGCTCCCTACATAAGACACTAACCTTCACACATCTAGATGGCCGGGCGGGGTGGGTGTGCTGCCATAGACAGCAGCAGGGGTCCGACTGAATGAACCAGTTTCTACTGGAGAACTTGAATGTGGTCTCTTTGGTGTTGGATCCCAGAGGTCATCTAGCACTATAGAAGATTACAAAAAGTCAGGTAGAACTTAAGTTTACTATTACCTATTTTATTGAACCTTTATTTTAGCAGAGGTGAGCCCTGAATCAATACTTTTACGGATGAGCCCTGCATCAATACATCAAATAAACACATATCTATAAACATAATTTATATAGAGTTTGGGGAACACAATCACTATAATGAAATACAGTGGGGGAAAAAAGTATTTAGTCAGCCACCAATTGTGCAAGTTCTCCTACTTAAAAAGATGAGAGAGGCCTGTAATTTTCATGATAGGTACACATCAACTATGACAGACAAAATGAGAAAAAAAAATCCAGAAAATCACATTGTAGGATTTTTAATGAATTTATTTGCAAATTATGGTGGAAAATAAGTATTTGGTCAATAACAAAAGTTTCTCAATACTTTGTTATATACCCTTTGTTGGCAATGACACAGGTCAAACGTTTTCTGTAAGTCTTCACAAGGTTTTCACACACTGTTGCTGGTATTTTGGCCCATTCCTCCATGCAGATCTCCTCTAGAGCAGTGATGTTTTGGGGCTGTCGCTGGGCAACACAGACTTTCAACTCCCTCCAAAGATTTTCTATGGGGTTGAGATCTGGAGACTGGCTAGGCCACTCCAGGACCTTGAAATGCTTCTTACGAAGCCACTCCTTCGTTGCCCGGGCGGTGTGTTTGGGATCATTGTCATGCTGAAAGACCCAGCCACGTTTCATGTTCAATGCCCTTGCTGATGGAAGGAGGTTTTCACTCAAAATCTCACGATACATGGCCCCATTCATTCTTTCCTTTACACGGATCAGTCGTCCTGGTCCCTTTGCAGAAAAACAGCCCCAAAGCATGATGTTTCCACCCCCATGCTTCACAGTAGGTATGGTGTTCTTTGGATGCAACTCAGCATTCTTTGTCCTCCAAACACGACGAGTTGAGTTTTTACCAAAAAGTTCTATTTTGGTTTCATCTGACCATATGACATTCTCCCAATCCTCTTCTGGATCATCCAAATGCACTCTAGCAAACTTCAGACGGGCCCGGACATGTACTGGCTTAAGCAGGGGGACACGTCTGCCACTGCAGGATTTGAGTCCCTGGCGGCGTAGTGTGTTACTGATGGTAGGCTTTGTTACTTTGGTCCCAGCTCTCTGCAGGTCATTCACTAGGTCCCCCCGTGTGGTTCTGGGATTTTTGCTCACCGTTCTTGTGATCATTTTGACCCCACGGGGTGAGATCTTGCGTGGAGCCCCAGATCGAGGGAGATTATCAGTGGTCTTGTATGTCTTCCATTTCCTAATAATTGCTCCCACAGTTGATTTCTTCAAACCAAGCTGCTTACCTATTGCAGATTCAGTCTTCCCAGCCTGGTGCAGGTCTACAATTTTGTTTCTGGTGTCCTTTGACAGCTCTTTGGTCTTGGCCATAGTGGAGTTTGGAGTGTGACTGTTTGAGGTTGTGGACAGGTGTCTTTTATACTGATAACAAGTTCAAACAGGTGCCATTAATACAGGTAACGAGTGGAGGACAGAGGAGCCTCTTAAAGAAGAAGTTACAGGTCTGTGAGAACCAGAAATCTTGCTTGTTTGTAGGTGACCAAATACTTATTTTCTACCATAATTTGCAAATAAATTCATTAAAAATCCTACAATGTGATTTTCTGGATTTTTTTTTCTCAATTTGTCTGTCATAGTTGACGTGTACCTATGATGAAAATTACAGGCCTCTCTCATCTTTTTAAGTGGGAGAACTTGCACAATTGGTGGCTGACTAAATACTTTTTTCCCCCACTGTATGTTTACCAAGAGTAAATAGGGCACAGACCTACAATGTATTTATACAGACCTACAATGTATTAGCATAGCCATTGTGTATTTTATGATGACTGAGTCTCTAGCACTATAGAAGATTTTAAAAAATCAGTAAGAACTCAAGTTTACTATTATTTATTTTATTGGACCTTTATTTTAGCAGGGGGGTGAGCCCTAGCCAATGTGTATTATTATGTTGACTATCACATGCTGTGCCTGTGGTTTTCGAGTGCCCTATTTACTATTGGTAAACATATTTCATTACAGTGATTATATACACTACCGTTCAAAAGTTTGGGGTCACTTAGAAATGTCCTTGTTTTCGAAAGAAAAGCAAATTTTTTGTCCATTAAAATAACATCAAATTGATCAGAAATACAGTGTAGACATTGTTAATGTTGTAAATGGCTATTGTAGCTGGAAACGGCTGATTTGTTATGGAATATCTACATAGGCGTACAGAGGCCCATTATCAGCAACCATCAGTAGTCCTGTGTTCCAATGGCACGTTGTGTTTGCTAATCCAAGTTCATCATTTTAAAAGGCTAATTGATCATTAGAAAATCATTTTGCAATTATGTTAGCACAGCTGAAAACTGTTGTGCTAATTAAAGAAGCAATAAAACTTTGAGACTAGTTGAGTATATGGAGCATCAGCAATTGTGGGTTCGATTACAGACTCAAAATGGCCAGAATCAAATAACTTTCTTCTGAAACTCGTCAGTCTATACTTGTTCTGAGAAATGAAGGCTATTCCATGCGAGAAATTGCCAAGAAACTGAAGATCTCATACAACGCTGTGTACTACTCCCTTCACAGAACAGCGCAAACTGGCTCTAACCACAATAGAAAGAGTGGGAGGCCCTTGTGCACAACTGAGCAAGAGGACAAATACATTAGAGTGTCTAGTTTGAGAAACAGACGTCTCACAGGTCCTCAACTGGCAGCTTCAATAAATAGTACCAGCAAAACAACAGTCTCAACGTCAACAGTGAAGAGGCGACACCGGGATGCTGACTTTTTCAGTTCTGCCAACAAATGTGCTATAGGATTGAGGTCAGGGCTTTGTGATGGCCACTCCAATACCTTGACTTTGTTGTCCTTAAGCCATTTTGCCACAATTTTGGAAGTATGCTTGGGGTCATTGTCCATTTGGAAGACCCATTTGCGACCAAGCTTTAACTTCCTGAATGATGTCTTGAGATGTTGCTTCAATATATCCACATAATTTTCCTTCCTCATGATGCCATCTATTTTGTGAAGTGCACCAGTCCCTCCTACAGCAGAGCACCCCCACAGCATGATGCTGCCACCCCCGTGCTTCACGGTTGGGATGGTGTTCTTTGGCTTGCAAGCATCCCCCTTTTTCCTCCAGACATAACGATGGTCATTATGGCCAAACAGTTCTATTTTTGTTTAATCAGATTTCTCCAAAAAGTACGATATTTGTCCCCATGTGTAGTTGCAAACCGTAGTCTGGTTTTTTTATGGCGGTTTTGGAGCAGTGGCTTCTTCCTTGCTGAGCGGCCTTTCAGGTTATGTCGATATAGAACTCGTTTTACTGTGGATATAGATACTTTTGTACCTGTTTCCTCCAGCATCTTCACAAGGTCCTTTGCTGTTGTTCTGGGATTGATTTGCACTTTTCGCACCAAAGTACGTTCATCTCTACCAGACAGAATGCATCAACAAATTTTTTTCTGAGGTTTTGGCTGATTTATTTAGATTTTCCCATGATGTCAAGCAAAGAGGCACTGAGTTTGAAGGTAGGCCTTGAAATACATCCACTGGTACACCTCCAATTGACTCAAATTATGTCAGTTAGCCTATCAGAAGCTTCTAAAGCCATGACATCATTTTCTGGAATTTTCCAAGCTGTTTAAAGGCACAGTCAACTTAGTGTATGTAAACTTCTGACCCACTGGAATTGTGATACAGTGAATTATAAGTGAAATAATCTGTCTGTAAACAATTGTTGGAAACATTACTTGTGTCATGCACAAAGTAGATGTCCTAACCGACTTGCCAAAACTATAGTTTGTTAATAAGACATTTGTGGAGTGGTTGAAAAACGAGTTATAATGACTCCAACTGAAGTGTATGTAAACTTCTGACTTCAACTGTATATATACAGTACCAGTCAAAGGTTTGAACACACCTACTCATTCCAGGTTTTTTTTTTTTTTTTTTACTATTTTCTACATTGTAGAATAATAGTGAATACATCAACACTATGAAATAACATATATGGAATCATGTAGTAACCAAAAAAGTGTTAAACAAATAAAAATATATTTTAGATTCATAAGTAGCCACCCTTTGCCTTGACGTCTTTGCACACTCTTGGCATTCTCTCAGACAGCTTTATGAGGTAGTCACCTGGAATGCATTTCAATTAACAGGTGTGCCGTTTGAGCCAATCAGTGGAGTTGTGGAGTTGTGACAAGGTAGGGGTGGTAAACAGAAGATTATTTGGTAAAATACCAAGTCCATAATATGGCAAGAACATCTCAAATAAGCAAAGAGAAACGACAGTCCATCATTACTTTAAGACATGAAGGTCAGTCAATACGGAACATTTCAAGACCTTTGAAAGTTTCTTCAAGTGCAGTCACAAAAACCATCAAGCGCTATGATGAAACTTGCTCTCATGAGGACCGCCACAGGAAAGGAAGACCCAAAGTTACCTCTGCTGCAGAGGATATGTTCATTAGAGTTACCAGCCTCAGAAATTGCAGCCCAATAAATGCTTCAAAAAGTTCAAGTAACAGACACATCTCAACATCAACTGTTCAGAGGAGACTGCGTGAATCAGGCCTTCATGGTCGAATTGCTGCAAAGAAACCACTACTAAAGGACACCAATAAGGAGAAGAGACTTGCTTGGGCCTAGAAACATGAGCAATGGACATTAGATCGGTGGAAATCTGTCCTTTGGTCTGATGAGTCCACATTTGAGATTTTTGGTTCCAACCGCTGTGTCTTTGTGAGACGCAAAGTAGCTGAACGGATGATCTCTGCATGTGTGGTTCCCACCGTGAAGCATGGAGGAGGCGGTGTGATGGTATAGGGGTCCTTTGCTGGGACACTGTCAGTGATTTGTTTAGAATTCAAGGCACACTAACCAGCATGGCTACCACAGCATTCTGCAGCAATACGCCATCCCATCTGGTTTGGGCTTAGTGGGACTATTATTTGTTTTTCAACAGGACAATGACCCAACACACCTCCAGGCTGTGTAAGAGCTATTTGACCAAGAAGGAGAGTGATTGAGTGCTGCATCAGATGACCCGGCCTCCACAATCACCCGAACTCAATCCAATTGAGATGGTTTGGGATGAGTTGGACTGCAGAGTGAAGGAAAAGCAGCCAACAAGTGCTCAGCATATGTGGGAACTCCTTCAAGACTGTTGGAAAAGCATTCCAGGTGAAGCTGGTTGAGTGTGCAAAGCTGTCATCAAGGCAAAGGGTGGCTACTTTGAAGAATCTCAAATATAAAATATATTTTGATTTGTTTAACACTTTTTTGGTTACTACATGATTCCATATGTGTTATTTCATTGTTTTGATGCCTTCACTATTATTCTACAATGTAGAAAATAGTAAAAATCAAGAAAAACCCTTGAATGAGTAGGTCTGTCCAAACTTATGACTGGTACTGTATATATATATATATATATATATATCATTTTTTTTGCTAAACAGGTGGGGCTCAAAACAGGTGGGGCTCTGAATGACGGGTTGCCACTGATTGTTGCACAGGTCATAGAGGCAGGCAGGTAGCTTTATATAACCCCCAACTGTTGCAAACCAAATAGTAGGGAGATGAAGTTGATGAATTTCCTGCCTAGGCTAGGGGATAGTGGAATTATGACATTAACACGTCATAATTCCTCTTGTCCACCCAAGGTCCCAGCCAGTGATGCGTGTGTTGTCTGTTGTGTCCTCTTGTCCACCCCAGGTCCCAGCCAGTGATGCGTGTGTTGGTGTCTGTCACCATGGACCCACCCGTGATCTCCCAGAACTCCTTCCACTGTGCTGTCCCCATGGCCCTTAACACTCCCGTAACCACAGCCATTCTGTGTGTCACTGTCACTGGGGCCCACGTGGGAAACATACAGGGTACAGAGTATCTCCACACTACAACACACAGCACAACACACTCTACTTTGAGTTTTATTACTGGAATGAGAGGAATTTGTTATATTGGCTCGGTTTGTTTGTCCATTGAAAATGCTTTTTTAGTCCAGGACTAGGCTTAATCTGTGTCCGGGAAACTGGCTCTTAGGCTGTTAGACAACACCTGTTACATCTATTTAACATTTTGATAATGTTTGGATATTTTATGGTATCTCATTGTTAAAAAAATTTTTAAATTCGCGACCCCACCCCAAATCGAATGACACAACCTTAAAATGTGTACATTTCAATTTTTACATCAACACACAACCTTCAAGTCATTACATTTTCATCTTTCTTATCAAAATTAAGATAATATAATAAATACATTTATTCTAATAATCTTTCTCAAAAAAGGTTGTATATTGTTCCATATTGAATACCAAAATGTAAAAAAAAAAAACAAAAAAAAAGACAATTGAAGCCACTTTCTTTAGAAATGTGGCGACCCCACTGCGAACCCGACTTTGAATACCTCTGCTGTAACTGGTATGTTTCTCTGCCCTAGCTTCTCTCCAGGCGTCAGTGTCTTTGACTGTGGATCTACTGGAGGACCAGACCAGGACCAGGCCAGCCCGTCTGCTCTTCTACCCCAGATCAACATCCTCCAGCTGGAATATGACGGTTACAGGCACTGCCTGCCACAACTTCTCCCTCAGTATCCCGGTCAGTGGTAGCTTCACACCACTTTCTATGTCTGTGTAGAAATGTACCACATTAGTCACGGGCTTCATCAATAAGTGCATAGACGACGTTGTCCCCACTGTGACTATACGAACGTATCCAAACCAAAAGCCATAGATTACAGGAAATATCCACACTGGGCTAAAGGCTAGAGTTAACACTTACAAGAAACGGGACACAAACATGGACGCATACAAGAAAGCCTGCTACTACCTCCGAGACATCAGACATGAAAAAGGACAATATAGGAGGAAGGTGGAATCCTATTACACTGGCTCCGACACTCGTTGTATTCTGCAGGGTTTGCAGACGATAATGGATTAGAAAGGGAAACCCAGTCGTGAGATGCCCAGTGATGCAGAATTACCAAACAAGCTAAATCAATCAAATTGTATTTATAAAGCCCTTTTTACATCAGCAGATGTCAAAGTGCTATACAAAAACCCAGCCTAAAAATGCCTTTTATGCTCGCTTTGGGGAATACAACACTGAGTCTTGCGTGAAAGCCCCCGTTGTTCCAGATGACTGTGTGATCTCGCTCTCTGTGGCCGATGTGAGTAAAATATTTTAATAAGACAACACTCGCAAGGCTGCCGGAACAGACGGAATACCAGGGCGCAATCTCAAAGCATGCACAGACGAGCTGGCAACTGTCTTCACTGACATTTTCAATGTCTCCTTGTCCCAGTCTGTAATCCCAACATGTTTCAAGCTGACCACCATTGTCCCTGTTCCCAAGAACTCCAAGGTAACCTGCCTAAATGACTATCGCCCTGTAGCACTTACATCTTTAATTATCAAGTGCTTTGAAAGGCTGGTCATGACATACATCGATACCATCATCCCAGACACCCTGGACCCACTCCAATTCGCAGACTGCCACAACAGATCCACAGATGACGCAATCTCAATTGCACTTCACACTGCCCTCTCCCACCTGGACAAGAGGGGAAATAACTATGAGAAAATGCTGTTCATAGACTACAGTTCAGCGTTCAACACCATAGTCCCATCCAAGCTCATCACCAAGCAGGTCACCCTGGAACTGAACACCTCCCTCTGCAACTGGATCCTGGACTTCCTGACGGGCCGGTCCCAGGTGTTGAGGGTAGGCAACAACACCTCCGGCCATGCTGACCCTCCTGTACTTCCTGTTCATCCACAACTGCGTGGCCATGCACAACTCCAACACTATCATCAGGTTTGCTGACGACACGACGTTGCTAGGCCTGATCACCAACAGTGATTAGACAGCCTACAGGGAGGAGGTCAGAGACTTGACAGTGTGGTGCCACAACAACAATCTCTCCCTCTATGTCAGTAAGACCAAGGAGCTGATCGTGGACTACAGGAGAAAGAGGGGAGAGCATGCCCCCATCCACATCAACGGGGCTTTAGTGGAGCGGGTCGAGAGCTTCAAATTCCTTGGTGTACACATGACTAAGGACAGCACCTCTCCCCCCTCAGGAAGCTGACACGATTTGGCATGGGCCCTCGGATCCTCAAAAAGTTATACAGCTGCGCAATTGAGAGCATCTTGAATGGCTGTATCACCGCTTGGTATGGCAAATGCACAACCATCAACCCCATAGCGCTACAGAGGGGGCCGAGCTCCCTGCCACCCAGGACCTCTATATCAGGCGGTGTCAGAGGAAGGGCCGATAAATTGCCAAAGACTCCAGCCACCCAAGCCATAGACTGTTCACTCTGCTACCGTGCAGCAAACGGTACTGGAGCATCGGCTCTCGGACCAACAAGCGCCGAGACAGCTTCTACCCCCAAGCCATAAGACTGCTAAATAGCCTTAAGACTGCTAAATATACTGAACAAATATATAAACTCAACATGAAACAATTTCAAAGATTTTACTGAGTTACAGTTCATATAAGGAAATCAGTCAATTTAAATAAATGCATTAGGCCCTCATCTATGGATTTCACATGACTGGGCAGGGGTGCAGCCATGGGTGGGCCTGGGAGAGCATAGGGGAGCCAGGCCCAGCCAGTCAGAATGAGTTTTTCCCCACAAAAGGGCTGTATTACAGACACACCGTCCCTCAGACTATCCCGCAGGTGAAGAAGCCGGATGTGGAGGTCCTGGGCTGGCGTGGTTAACGTGGCCTGCGGTTGTGAGGCCAGTTGGACGTACTGCCAAATTCTCTAAAACAACATTGGTAGAGAAATGAACATTCCATTTTCTGGCAACAGCTCTGGTGGACATTCCTGCAGTCAGCATCACAATTTCAGACTCCCTCAAACCTTGAGTCATCTATGGCATTGTGTTGTGTGACAATTGTCCCCAGCACAAGGTGCACCTGTGTAATGATTATGCTGTTTAATCAGCTTCTTGATATGCCACACCTGTCAGGTGGATGGATTATCTTGGCAAAGGATAAATGCTCACTAACAGAGATGCAAAAAAAATTTTTTGCAAAAACGTTTAGAAAAATACGATTTTTGTGCGTATGGAACATTTCTGGGATTTTTTATTTCAGCTCAAGAAACATGGGACACACACTTTACATGTTGCGTTTATATTTTTGTTCAGTGTAGTTAATTAAATGGTTACTCCGTCTATCTGCACTGACCCTATGCACACTCACAAGACTACATACAGTGAGGGAAAAAAGTATTTGATCCCCTGCTGATTTTGTACGTTTGCCCACTGACAAAGAAATGATCAGTCTATAATTTTAATGGTAGGTTTATTTGAACAGTGAGAGACAGAATAACAACAAAGAAAATCCAGTGTGCAAACCTAGTGGCCAACTACAAGAAACGTCTGACCTCTATGATTGCCAACAAGGGTTTTGCCACCAAGGACTAAGTCATGTTTTGCAAAGGGGTCAAATACCTATTTCCCTCATTAAAATGCAAATCAATTTATAACATTTTTGACATGTGTTTTTCTGAAATTTTTTTGTTGTTATTCTGTCTCTCATTGTTCAAATAAACCTACCATTACAATTATAGACTGATCATGCCTTTATCAGTGGTCAAACGTACAAAATCAGCAGGGGATCAAATACTTTTTCCCCTCACTGTATACACACTCACACTGACACTCTCACACAAAACTCACACACATACACTACATGACCAAAAGTATGTGGACACCTGCTTGTTGACCATTTCATTCCATAATCATGGGCATTAATATGGAGTTGGTCCCCCCTTTGCTGCTATTACAGCCTCCACTCCATATGTGTACATTATGTAGCATGTATGTAGTTGGCCCCATACACACTCAGGTTGTACAGGGGGGCAGCAGGTAGCCTAGCAAATCCCCGAGCCGACTAGGTGAAAAATCTGTCAATATGCCCTTGAGCAAGTCACTTAACCCTAATTGCTCCTGTAAGTCGCTCTGTATAAGAGCGTCTGCTAAATGACTAAAATGTAACTGCAAATGTACAATGCATTTGACATAATGGCTGTGATACGACTGACATTTTTTTATGAGTTTGTCTGCACACAAAAAATGTACACAACCATTGTAGAGACACAACACAATGGTTGTACAACTTGTATGGGTTTGCATTTACACCTCACTTTTCCCTGTCTGTCTGCACTTGGTAACGGCTTAGCGTGTTTTGGGGGTATTTATTCGAGGAGTGTTTTGGTGTGTTCTCTGGGTTTGTCCTCCAGGAGTGTATATCAGACTACCGTGAGGTGCCTCTGTCTGTTCAAATGGCTGTGGAGGGCCTGGAAGTACCAGGGACAGGAGGACTGAAGTCAGTCCTGAGCCCAGACAACCCAACCTCCTTTGCACACATGGTGAGCGCTCTGTGTGTGTGTGTGTGAGTGGGTGTGTGTGTGTGGGTTTGTGCGCTCTGTGTGTCATTTGGTTGTGTGTCTGTGAATGTAGACATTTTTGCAACAGTTTGTGATGTTGGGTTTCAGATCTTGCTGGAGAAGGTTTGTGGCGAGGACCATGTGTGTGTCTCTGACTTATCTGTCAACTTCACCAGGTAAAATATGTAAATATCAATATCTTTGTCAAATATTTGTCATTGTGTTAATTGAACTGTTTGTTAAACGGTCTCTGTCACGATCGTCGTAGGAAGTAGACCAAGGCGCAGCGTGATGAACGAACATGTTTATTTACCTTTAGTGATAAATACTGACAATGAACAAAACAACAAATGACTCGTAACGTCCTAGGTAACATAGACCAACACGGAACAAGAACCCACAACCACAAAGGGAAAACAGACAGTTTAAATATGGCTCCCAATCAGAGACAACCAGCCCCAGCTGACACTCGTTGCCTCTGATTGGGAGTCACTCTAGCCAACATAGAAATAAACACAACTAGAACTCCCAACATAGAAATATAACACATAGAAAGAACACACCCTGGCTCAACATATAGAGTCCCAGAGCCAGGGTGTTACAGTACCCCCCCCCTACAGGCGCGGACTGCGACCGCGCCTCAACTAGAGCAAAACAGGGGAGGGCTGGGTGGGCATTCCTCCTCGGCGGCGGTTCTGGCTCCGGTCTTGCCCACCACCCTCCAATAAACCCCCCATAGCGCCCCTGGTCCGGTCTGGCCCCGCTGGCTGGAGCTGAACTGGACTTAGCAGGAGCGGTTAGCTTCAGCTCCGTAGTGGAGCAGTTGACCGGTACCTTACCAGGCACCGGTGACCCAGGCACGGGTTGTGCGGGACTGACGACGCGCACCCCTGGCTTGGTGCGTGGAGTAGGAACGGGCCGGACCGGGCTGACGATGCGCACCCCTGGCTTGGTGCGTGGAGTAGGAACGGGCCGGACCGGGCTGACGATGCGCACCCCTGGCTTGGTGCGTGGAGTAGGAACGGCCGGACCGGGCTGACGATGCGCACCCCTGGCTTGGTGCGTGGAGCAGCAACGGGCCGGACCGGGCCTGGTGCACCCCTGGCCTGGGCGGGACAGGCCGGACCGGACTGGCGACGCACACCGTAGGCTTGGTGCGAGGAGCAGGGACAGGCCGGACCGGGCTGGGCGACGCACACCGTAGGCTTGGTGCGAGGAGCAGGGACAGGCCGGACCGGGCTGGCGACGCACACCGTAGGCTTGGTGCGAGGAGCAGGGACAGGCCGGACCGGGCTGGCGACGCACACCGTAGGCTTGGTGCGAGGAGCAGGGACAGGCCGGACCGGGCTGGCGACGCACACCGTAGGCTTGGTGCGAGGAGCAGGGACAGGCCGGACCGGGCTGTGGAGACGGATAGGAGACCTGGAGTGAAGAGCTGCCACAACCCGTCCTGGCTGAATGCCTACCTTCACACACTCTGTGTGAGGCATCAGCACAGGACGTACAGGGCTGTGTACCCGTACTGGCATAACAGCACGTGACACTGGCGCAGGATATCCGGGACCGAGGAGAGGCACTGGAGGCCACGAGCGCTGAGCCGGCACACTCCGTCCTGGCTGCATGCCCACCTTCGCACAACACGTGCGGGGTGCTCGCACAGGACGTACCGGACTATGCCGGACCACTCGTGGCCCAGTGCGCAGCTCCGCATACCGCGGAACCTGCCCAGTCTCATGCTGCCATGCCTGAGTACGGGGAGTTGGCTCTGCTCTCCATCCAGGCTCCGCCAACCTGCCTTCTGGCCCCCAAAACCCGGTGGCCTCCTCTCCAAATCGCCCTGTGGCAGCCTCCTGCTGCCCAGCCGCCCATGCCGTGTGCCCCCCCCCTAAAAATTTTTTGGGGTTGCCTCTCGTCCGTCCGACGATGACACTGCTGACGCCGCTGCTCCTCTCTCGCCAGGGCCTTAATCCTAGCCCACCTGGGCCATCGCCAGCCTCTCCATCTCCTTTCCCGGCGCTTCCTCCCATGTCCAGTCTGCCTGCTCCTGGACACGCTGCTTGGTCCTTGTATGGTGGGTTCTTCTGTCACGATCGTCGTAGGAAGTAGACCAAGGCGCAGCGTGATGAACGAACATGTTTATTTACCTTTAGTGATAAATACTGACAATGAACAAAACAACAAACGACTCGTAACGTCCTAGGTAACATAGACCAACACGGAACAAGAACCCACAACCACAAAGGGAAAAGAGACAGTTTAAATATGGCTCCCAATCAGAGACAACCAGCCCCAGCTGACACTTGTTGCCTCTGATTGGGAGTCACTCTAGCCAACATAGAAATAAAGACAACTAGAACTCCCAACATAGAAATATAAGACATAGAAAGAACACACCCTGGCTCAACATATAGAGTCCCAGAGCCAGGGTGTTACAGTCTCTCTCTCTCTCTCTCTCTCTCTCAGCAGATTGAGAGAGCGAGAGAGAGAGAGAAGAAGAGCAAGAGAGAGAGCGAAGGCAGAGAGAGAGAGAGCGAGAAGAGAGAGATAGAGAGTCTCTCCTTCTCCTCTCTCTCCTCTCTCTCTCTCTCTCTCTCCGCTCTCTCTCTCTCTCTTCTCTCTGCTCTCTCTCCTCTCTCTCTATCTCTCTCTCTCTCTCTCTCTCTCTCTCTCTCTCTCTCCAGTCCAGAGGTGGTGTGTAGCCAAGGTTTCCCAGTAGAAATGTCTGTAGAGGTGGCTAACAGTGGAGAGGATTCCTCTGAGGCTGAGCTGACACTGGTCCACCCCTCCTCCATATCCTTTGTTCGTGCCAAACGGGTAAGACCCACCAATGTCGGGAGGGATGGAGGCAGGTGTAGGATGAAGGGCTAGAGAGATACAGTACCAGTCAAACGTTTGGACACACCTACTCATTCAAGGGTTTTTCTTTATTTTTACTATTTTCTACATTGTAGAATAATAGTGAAGACATCAAAACTATGAAATAACACATATGGAATCATGTAGTAACCAAAAAAGTGTTAAACAAATCAAATTATATTTTAGATTCTTCAAATGAGCCACCCTTTGCCTTGATGACAGCTTTGCACACTCTTGGCATTCTCTCAATCACCTTCAGTCTTGAAGGAGTTCCCACATATGCTGAGCACTTGTTGGCTGCTTTTCCTTCACTCAGCGGTCCAACTCATCCCAAACCATCTCAATTGGGTTGAGGTCGGGTGATTGTGGAGGCCAGGTCATCTGATGCAGCACTTCATCACTCTCCTTCTTGGTTAAATAGCCCTTACACAGCCTGGAGTTGTGTTGGGTCATTGTCCTGTTGAAAAACAAATGATATTCTCACTAAGCGCAAACCAGATGGGATGGCGTATCGCTGCAGAATGCTGTGGTAGCCTTGCTGGTTAAGTGTGCCTTGAATTCTAAATAAATCACTGACAGTGTCACCAGCAAAGCACCATCACACCTCCTCCTCCATGCTTCACGGTGGGAACCACACATGCGGAGATCATCCGTTCACCTACTCTGCATCTCACATTTTCGGTTGGAACCAAAAATCTCAAATTTGGACTCATCAGACCAAAGGACAGATTTCCACCGGTCTAATGTCCATTGCTCATGTTTCTTGGCCCAAGCAAGTCTCTTCTTCTTATTGGTGTCCTTTAGTAGTGGTTTATTTGCAGCAATTCGACCATGAAGGCCTGATTCACGCAGTCTCCTCTGAACAGTTGATGTTGAGATGTGTCTGTTACTTGAACTCCGTGAAGCATTTATTTGGGCTGCAATTTCTGAGGCTGGTAACTCTAATGAACTTATCCTCTGCAGCAGAGGTACAGTGAGGGAAAAAAGTATTTGATCCCCTGCTGATTTGTACATTTGCCCACTGACAAAGACATGATCAGTCTATAATTTTAATGGTAGGTTTATTTGAACAGTGAGAGACAGAATAACAACAAAAAAATCCAGAAAAACGCATGTCAAAAATGTTAGAAATTGATTTGCATTTTAATGAGGGAAATAAGTATTTGACCCCTCTGCAAAACATGACTTAGTACTTGGTGGTAAAACCCTTGTTGGCAATCACAGAGGTCAGACGTTTCTTGTAGTTGGCCACCAGGTTTGCACACATCTCAGGAGGGATTTTGTCCCACTCCTCTTTGCAGATCTTCTCCAAGTTATTAAGGTTTCGAGGCTGACGTTTGGCAACTCGAACATTCAGCTCCATCCATAGATTTTCTATGGGATTAAGGTCTGGAGACTGGCTAGGCCACTCCAGGACCTTAATGTGCTTCTTCTTGAGCGACTCCTTTGTTGCCTTGGCCGTGTGTTTTGGGTCATTGTCATGCTGGAATACCCATCACGACCCATTTTCAATGCCCTGGCTGAGGGAAGGAGGTTCTCACCCAAGATTTGATGGTACATGGCCCCGTCCATAGTCCCTTTGATGCGGTGAAGTTGTCCTGTCCCCTTAGCAGAAAAACACCCCCAAAGCATAATGTTTCCGCCTCCATGTTTGACGTGGGGATGGTGTTCTTGGGGTCATAGGCAGCATTCCTCCTCCTCCAAACATGGCGAGTTGAGTTGATGCCAAAGAGCTCGATTTTGGTCTCATCTGACCACAACACTTTCACCCAGTTCTCCTCTGAATCATTCAGATGTTCATTGGCAAACTTCAGACGGGCCTGTATATGTGCTTTCTTGAGCAGGGGGACCTTGCGGGCGCTGCAGGATTTCAGTCCTTCACGGCGTAGTGTGTTACCAATTGTTTTCTTGGTGACTATGGTCCCAGCTTCCTTGAGATCATTGACAAGATCCTCCCATGTAGTTCTGGGCTGATTCCTCACCGTTCTCATGATCATTGCAACTCCACGAGGTGAGATATTGCATGGAGCCCAAGGCCGAGGGAGATTGACAGCTATTTTGTGTTTCTTCCATTTGCGAATAATCGCACCAACTGTTGTCACCTTCTCACCAAGCTGCTTGGCGATGGTCTTGTAGCCCATTGCAGCCTTGTGTAGGTCTACAATCTTGTCCCTGACATCCTTGGAGAGCTCTTTGGTCTTGGCCATGGTGGAGAGTTTGGAATCTGATTGATTGATTGCTTCTGTGAACAGGTGTCTTTTATACAGGTAACAAACGGAGATTAGGAGCACTCCCTTTAAGAGTGTGCTCCTAATCTCAGCTCGTTACCTGTATAAAAGACAACTGGGTGCCAGAAATCTTTCTGATTGAGAGGGGGTCAAATACCTATTTCCCTCATTAAAATGCAAATCAATTTATAACATTTTTGACATGCGTTTTTCTGGATTCTTTTTGTTGTTATTCTGTCTCTCACTGTTCAAATAAACCTACCATTAAAATTATAGACTGATCATTTATTTGTCAGTGGGCAAACGTACAAAATCAGCAGGGGATCAAACACATTTTTCCCTCACTGTATCTCTGGGTCTTCTGTTCCTGTGGCGGTCCTCATGAGAGCCAGTTTCATCATAGCGCTTGATGGTTTTTGCAACTGCACTTGACGAAACTTTCAAAGTTCTTGAAATGTTCCGTATTAACTGACCTTCATGTCTTAAAGTAATGATGGGCTGTCGTTTCTCTTTGCTTATTTGAGCTGTTCTTGCCATAATATGGACTTGGTCTTTTACCAAATAGGGCTATCTTCTGTATACCACCCCTACCTTGTCACAACACAACTGATTGGCTGAAACGCATTAAGAAGGAAATAAATTCCACAAATTAACTTTTAACAAGGCACACCTGTTAATTGAAATGCATTCCAGGTGACTACCTCATGAAGCTGGTTGAGAGAATGCCAAGAGTGTGCAAAGCTGTCATCAAGGCAAAAGGTGGCTACTTTGAAGAATCTCAAATATATTTTGATTTGTTTAACACTTTTTTGGTTACTCCATGATTCCAAATGTGTTATTTCATAGTTTTGATGTCTTCACTATTATTCTACAATGTAGAAATGTTTTACTGGTACTGTATATGAAGGGGTGTGATTGAGATATTTAGTTGTGAGCAGAGGTGGTAAGGGTGGAGAGATGGAGATATAATAAAGTGTTGGCTTTCATCAGCTGGTTTATTTTGGTTTTGATCATGTCACCGTAAATCTGTTATAGCCATCAGGACCAGGCCAGGTGGCTGTTTGGTGTGTGTCCAACACTACAGGACTAGGAAACCTCACACACACAGTGTGTCCCCTCAGCTCTACTGTCCTGAGACAGGGGGCACGGGTAAATATCATTCAGCCGACTTAATTTCTGTAAAGCTGAGCGAGAAAATATTTTGATCTGATTCTGCCTTTCCCCCCAGGTGACAGTGTTGATGTCATTCACAGTGTTTGAACCGTCCTGTTTGAGAGAAAGACTGGCTTTGAATGTGTCTGTTATTACGTGAGTCACCATCTCCACAGACAGAACTTTACCATTGAATCATTGATGGGAAAAAATGAAGTTATTCTGTTCTGTTCTTTACTCTATTCCATTCATCTATCTAATCAGAATTTGTAGATCATCATTTGTGTCATGGTAAACGTCAACACTGTTTGTGTATTCATTCTTCTGTCCTACAGTGACAATGAAGGACAGGGAACCCTTCAGGATAACTATGCAAGCTCCTCTGTAGATGTTAAACTTCCTATCAATATTGTTGTGAAAGGGTGGGTGCATACAATTTCCTCTTCAGACACAGTTTCATTATGACAATAGTGACTGAGGCAGGATAAATGATCTTTACTTATCATTATATTTCAGAGGAGACTCCTCCCTATATGTAACTTTCCCAGACAACAAGCTTCTGGAGCACATATACATGGTATGAATAAATCATACTGTACATGGTACTGCTGCCTAATGGTTCTGTATACATCTCTATCTGTTAGTCTTTTAATTCACCCAATAGTATTTCAATTACACTTATTTCAGTATCCATCCCGTTATATCTCACCATGTCCTCTCTCCATCTCTGAGGTGGAGAATATAGGACATGTGGCAGCACCGGTCAATGTTACATTTGTGATTCCAGTGGAGTTGGACTCTGGTTACCTGTGGAATGTGTCTCTTCCTCAAACAGTGAGTGCAGCCTGGGTCATTTTCATTAGGGTACACCTTTTTGCAATTGGAAGCGAAAATGAGTGTTTCTTATTGGGCAAGTTCAGATAGTGCCTTCCTGTTTCACTCTGTGCACTCACTTGAAGCATTTACTTCCATGTTGTGCCTGGTCTGTAGCAGAGGCAGGTCATCTGATAGCATCTAAAATAGTCAAGCAGCACTTTCCTCAGTCAATCAGCATAAAGTATCAGTGGCAGGATCTGGTATTTGGTTAGTTGCAAATGTCTTCTGGCATTATACATGTTCTTATGTCTGTGTGTGTGCCAAAGGATAACAGCAGAGGAAAGTGTGAGAGGAAGGAGGTATTCTCTAAAAAGGAAAACAGCACTCTGTTTTATCAGGTGAGATAGACCTCTAAAAGAGACATAAACAAAATAGAAACATGGGTGTTTCTCTAATCACTTGTCATTACAAGTACAGTCATTTCTACTCTAACCCTTCTGATTGGGTCTACCGCAGCACTGTAGTGGGGTCATCTGTCATCTGGTTGGCTGCACTATAGGACTGTCAGCCAACAATCAGCCAACCATCTTCAAGTTTGTTGGGAATATCAGTCGAAACTCTGAGGTAAGGATAATCGTAACTTCATACATACGTTTCATGTTGTTGAATAATGTATGTAAGCATTGGTGTTGTATGGGCTAGACGAGGCAGCCATCTATAGATTGCTCTGGTACGGGTCCATGTCAAGCAGATGAGGGTCTAGATTCTATCAGATCCGCGTTAGCCGACACTGGCATAGCGGTTGTTTTGGCATTGTTGGTTGTTTCGGCAGTGTCGGAGGTGGAACTGCGTTAAGGAGCCCGCAAACTAGGTTCGGTTTGCTCCTAGCAGAACTCGGCTAGGCGACGTGAACGTCTATGCCTCGCATACTCCCTTAAAAGATCTTCGCTTGAAAAACGAGAAAAAAAGTCCCCCCCCCCACAACACACATATTCCGTTCCTAAAATCTGCCATCAGTCCAGTGTACGGAATATCTTCGACAAAATTCTGCTGGAGGTGCTGCATCAACCCGCGCAGATCCATTCCAACGTGCCATCCACACACACAGTTTCGGCCCGAGCCATAGGGCTCTATACAGTAACAGTGAGCTCTGTCGCGGCCAAAACTACTCTTTCCCATAGGCTTGAACTATCTATAGTATGACAGCACCAACAGTTAGCTACCAGCAGCTGGCAGACGTTTACATTTGGTTCGTTTTATCAGCGCTATTTAGATGGAAGACGTGAGCTAAATGCTGTAGCCCTATAGCTAGCTTACGTTAGCATAGAGGTATCGAGCTAGCTCTTTTTTGAGAAGCAATTTCTTGCTGAAGCCCTCCTTCCATTGTTAATAGCCGTGGAAGTTCTCAGGGATGAAATGTGCCCGCAGATTGGTGAGCAGACACCCAATTCGCCCGCCTCATTTTCACAAATGTATCCCACTTTTTATGAAGTTTTTAATTCACCATGTGACGCTGGCTGCGGAGCGTTGTAGGATCGTTTCCAAAGTTAGGGCTGATTTGGAGAACACCTCAAACCCAACTTTTAGAACAACATTATATTAAGAGTTTGTAATTCGGGAATGTTTTATTTGGGTGCTTTTAAGTTACTATTATATGTGTTTCTGGTATTGAGAAATAAGTGCTAACGCGGGAACATTGGCTTTACATTTCAATCACGTTATAGCGCTGAACTTCGGCGATAGGGATTGAATCGAGCCCTATACTTTCTAGCGCCATTTTGAACTTCTAACACGGTAGGGATCATAAGGAAGGGAGTGGTTTGTGACCCAAGAGCAGCCGCTCACCTATTTGTCAGCTCATACCGCAGTTACACCTCCAACACAGCCAAAATGCCAACACGGGTTAGCGTTGGATCTGATTGAATCGAGGCTGAGATTCACGTTATGAGTTGTTGTGGTTCAGTTTCAGTAGTGTTGTTTGTTTCACAGGGTTCAGCGGTGCAGGTGGAGGTGGTCAGTTGGGGCTCGCTGTCCTTCGACCAGAGTGTCTACTCCCAATATCCTGCCCTTGGTTCTCAGAGTGTGAAGGTGAGCCAATAACTTCAAATGCTCTCTAAGAGCTCCATTCAATTAGATCATCTTTAGCTGACATCTGCATAGTGGTTGTTTTGGCGGTTGGAACTGCGTTAAAGCTGTCAAATCCACAAGCGGCTCCTGGCATTATACCTAAATGCGGACATTGCCATTGGCTGCATGGAGTCGCATTAAGAGGAATCCCATGCAGTCTTGTTTACAAGTTCAAACATTGGAATGTGAGATGTAATCTACACCTCGATTAGGCTAATACAAATTCTCATTATTTTGTTTAATGATTTTCAATTTGAGCGCATTATTTGTATATAGCCTACACTTTCTCGTTCTGAACTTCTAACGGGATTGGGACAGGTGGCTTCATGACAATGATCACTCTTATTTTTTCCACTCACTCCATCATTTCTCTCTTCTAGATTCTGTCCATTCTGGAGACAACGCCTGAATCCCGCACTGCCCTCATTGCTTCCCTCAGTGTTGTGTTTTCACTGTTGCTACTGGCGATAGTCTCTGGGGTTCTCTACAAGGTGAGACACTCCTCCAACCCTAAACCCTAACATAACCCTAGCCTCATGTCCACATCCCGGTTCAACCCTAACCCTATTCCAACCACAACCCTAACGTTAGCTTCATGTCCACATCCCGGTTCAACCCCAACCCTCAACCCCAACCACAATCCTAACCCTGTCTGGTTCTGGAGTGGGGAGGAGGGAGTGTGAGTTGACACCCTATTCCCTCTCCAAGGCTGTCTGTCTGTACGAACAAGATTGTGTATACATTATACAACCATATGAATATATATTGACTAAAGATTGTTTTTGTTTTCTCAGAAAGGGTTTTTCAAGAGCAGCAGAACGCCCCCTGGTGGTGTAGATTATAGTGCAGCTGTTCCTGGATGGACTGCTGACAATGCAGCCCATGATGATGACCATGGTCTGACCGCTGATATTACCTCACTGAGGGAGACCACCCTGTAGCAGTATTCTGAGCTGACCAACTCAGTCACCCTAGCCTTTCTGATACCTCTGTCAGACACCATGCCTACATTACGATTCTCTCCCAAAGTGTGCACTCATACATCTCGAAGTGTGCACTATTATTTAAAAGGAATGGACTGATATGAGGAATATGGTGGAAACTCCCTCCAGTGGCATTCAGGGCAGAGCCTGTTTTGCATGTTATTTTGGCATTAATACATGTCACATATCAGTTTGCAAACAATGTAAAAAATAAATAAACATGGTCTATTTAAATAAATAAACATGGTCTATTTTTTGCTTTCTTGAGTAAGGCAGCTCCAAAATGCAGGTGTTTCAGCCTAGCTCAGTGCATTCTGTGTTGGTGGGGCAGCCAGCGGAAAATACGGCGCGTAGGGGTTGGTAATGTTATCTAGTTGCGCTGTGATTGGCTCCATGCTCTGTCACTCATGGAGACACTACGTTGCCGCAAAATCTACGGGTAGAGCTCGAAAATTCAAGCCCCTTGGGTGCTGCCATAGACTTACATTAGAAGTGCCCATCCAAGAAGGCTCAAGGTCACTGGCCACAGATAAAATGACGTCAAATCTCGTTATATCTACCGTAGCTTTGATTGGACTGATCATGTCAACATCATACTTTCAAAATCTTAGCTAGCAAGCTAGACAAGCAGTCATCATCATGCATCAAGTCGGCAATCTGAAGAGAAATTATAAAACGTATCGGTGCTCATTGGCCATTGGACATAAACATTACACAACAAGTTGGAAATCGCAAATTCAATGAGTGCTAAGGCGCCACTGCAGCCCCGGGTTCGATCCCAGGCTGTGTCACAGCCGGCTGTGACCGGGAGACCCATGAGGCGGCACACAATTGGCCCAGCATCATCCGGGTTAGGGGAGGTTTTGGCCGGCCGGGATGTCCTTGTCTCATCGTGCTCTAGCGACTCCTTGTGGCGGCCAGGCGCCTGTAAGCTGACTTCGGTCGTCAGTTCGACAGTGTTTCCCCCTACACATTGGTGCAACTGGCTTCCGGGTTAAGCGAGTAGTGTGTCAAAAAGCAGTGCAGCTTGGCTCTCGACCTTCGCCTAGTCCGTAGGTGAGTTGCAGCGGAGACAAGATCGTAACTACCAATTGGATATCACGAAAAAGGGGTTAACGCCATGGGCCAGAAAAGTTTTGAATACATTGGCCATGCTGTCAATCCAGCATGACTTCTGCCACATTCAAAACAACTGGGAAATCTCAGACTTCAGTGAGTTCAAGACAACTGGGAACTCGGATAAAACTAGCTCCGACTGGGAAAAAAATGGAAAATAATTTTGAACGGTCATCCAACTCGGAATTCCAAGTCGGGATTTTGGGCCTCTTTCTAGAGCCCACAAGAAGGAACGCCGCGCCACCTTCCTGTTCAAGTGAGCACAGCACAACAAGGTGAGTCCAAAAATGTACTGTATGCTGCTGCATAAATGATGTAATGTGCCAGGGAGATATGTATATGTAGCCAAGAAAGTAATACTAAGTCTATGTTGTGCAGTAAGCTGTTAGTAGCCCATGTGGCTCACCCTAATAATTTGGACCCTTTCCTCCCTCATAACTTAGCCTACTGTTCTGACTTGATGGTGCACATGTAGCCTATAGCCTGTTTTAGAGAAATGTAATCAGAATATTGTAAGAGCTTTCATTTTCTGCTCATATGCCCCCTTTATTTATCCTACGGTTCTGACTTGGTGTACAGGGAGAATACTGTAAGAACGGCCCATGTTCTGAATTCTGTCGCTGTACCTTTCAAAAGTGCTGAACAAAGTTATATTGACTACGTCCGTCCTAGCTCGCTCATTGTCTTAATCGAAAATACAGATTGCCTCTTATCTGCTCGTCATTCCCTTATGCCTTAGTTTGTACATCTCAATTGTCAGTAGAAACCACATTTGTTTAAGCAAGTCAGCCATATCAGCTACATTTTCAAAAAAGGCAGTAAATGGGGCTGAATGATCTGTTTCGCTGCCAGACAAGGCTCCGCTGATAGCCAGGTGTAGCGGTGGTAAGGATTGAGCTTTATGTAGGCCATAACAGTTTGTGGTCACCATTATAGTACAATGAATGTATTGTTTAGTGTCGTGTAGTGGCTTTGCTGGCTTGCATAAGAACAATGTTTTAGTTTACCCCACCAAGATTTACGTGCTAAAATTGCCACTGCCTCAAGCCATGCTTGCACAAATCCAATGCATGAGGGGGAGTGAACGCATGTACACTTCTGGAGAAGGGTAGAGAATCGGAACGCAGCCCTAACCTGCTGAACCCCTCTGGTGCAACTATCTCTTCAGGTACTTATCTGCACTGTGATTAACAAGGCCTGCATGAAATCCTTTGTGAAGATCCACAGCCATCAGAGTAGCGAGCTTCACAGAACTGAAGCAGCGGCATTCCTTTTGTGGACAATATTAAGTTACACTTTTTTTTATGTCTTATGTATTGTACAATTCCTTTCATCAATTTCTTTGTATGTTATTGTAACTCATTAAGCACTGTCTTTGTTAGCTGTCCTACGGTTTCTCTTACTGCAGGGAAACTTGTCTCTGCTTACAATGAAAATATAAAACAATTTGAATAAACACAAGTTCTTCCTTTATTATCATCAATGCTACATTAATTTTGACATGAACATGATAGAAGTAGCCACAAGCCAATCCCTATTGAGTTTGGTACATATTTAGCAACACGACATACCGGTACTATCTTTAAAAAATGAACCCCTGGCAAAGGCAATTGCAATATCAGGCTCTAGTGTTTGTTTGTGGGTGGTTGAGTTTGTATGTGCTGCACCACTATTCCTGCAGGCTGGTCAAAAAAGTGACTGTATGGTGGTGACAACAGGCTTTCCACAAAAATATACTGAGTTATACACACAAACTGTGAGTACAATGTGGCTTATATAGAATACATAAAACGGTAAGGAATAAATGATCACCGTGCACAAACGAGTGAAGTGGTGGAAAGCAGAGAAAACAAAAAGGACAGATGACTGAGTGCACGGAATGTGACATATTGACGCCTGACCACAATACAACGGTCAAAGGTCATTAGAACATTCAACAAATAACTAGTAGGGGAGAGACCATGGGCGACTGAAATGGCACCCTATTTACCCTAGCATTTCGGACAGAGGCCATTTGTGAGTGCAGCACACACAACTCTGTACATATCAGGTTATTGACAGGTAGAGCGAATTTAGTCACAATGAACGCAAAGTGATGCATTTAAAGAGCCCAGATACAAGGCGCTGATGTCTCTATACTTCCTCAAACTGTCCTTCCTTAGAATTGTCCCAAACAGTCTCAGCAACCCAGAACCAAATCTCAACTTAATACAGAAACCTTCAAAAAAACGAACTTTGTCTTCCCCCACATCTTGGTCATTTGATAAATACCACAATGCTCACATATGGTTAGTTCCAAATTATATCCTGGACAGAAATCAAGACTACAATACATATTATTTAAAAGGCCATAAATATAGTGAAAGTAAAACAGACTTTACATTCAGTAAATCGACAGTCAGAACCATGTGGAAGGATAGTTGATCCGCCTGCCTTGTGATGCGTTGAGGCTTGAAGAATTACATTTTTTCTGCTGAGGAGGGTTTGTGAGACGATGGGAGAATCTCAATTACTAACTCCTTGTGTCCTCTCTCCTCACCACCTTCTCAAGACCAATTGAATGAGATAGCAAAAGTTCCCTCCCCTCTAACCTTCTCCTCCAATGGGTTTTGAGAAAGAAGCGAGGACACGAGAAGTATGCAGTTGAGATTCTCCAATAGAAGAGCGCTCTTAGCCTTTTCACATTATCGTGCCAACCCGAACCGTACTAGCTCTGAGATTTTCGTTTCACATATTCCTTTCTAGCATGGTTTCAGCCAGTGCAAAACAGCTTAGCTTGAATTGGCTCAGTAGGGTGAAAAGGTTATCTCTCAGGGAGTAGTATGTTTCTGTCAGTGGTTATGTTATAAATGTTCTATGAGTTGGTTTAGAAGCCCAGAGGGTGAGGAGCGACGACGCCTCCATTCTCCACTAAGGCAGCAGATATGGCCTTCATGTTCTTAAAGACCTGGGTGGTGGAAGAAGACTTCAGGTCCTTGACGTTCTTCATGATCCTGTCATAGGCCTGATGGGGGGAGCAGAGATCAGACGTGTGTATGTACAGTATATATATATATATATATGTGTGTGTGTGTGTGTGTGTGAGAGAGAGAGGGAGACACTCGCCTCGATACACCAGGTTTCACACAGGATCTTCTCGTGCTGGGCAGAGGCATGACCCTGGCTCAGAGAGCGGGACGCCCTGAGAGAGAGCGAGAGATCATTCAATTTCATACTTTCATATTTTTCACAAAATATAGCATGTTATACAAATGGCACCCTACATTTCTACTGGGGTCGTTCTAAGCCATATCACCCACCATCTCAGATTGTTCTGAAATCGTTTCTGTTGTTAGAAACAGATAAGATTAGCATTCCTGCAACATTTTGTTGAAATATAATTTGATCTCTGAGAAACTAAGCTAATTGATTCCACCCAAATTGGCCATTTTAATTTATAGGATTCATATACATGTTCAATAACTCTAGTACCTTTCATCCGATTTGGACCCAACATTGTTCTATCAATGAGTAAGACATGATTAATCAAAAGCTACCCACGGACACCCCACGCCAATCCCAACCCAACAATGAGTATACAATATCAGTAGTATGGAGTATTGTTTCGTCATCCTAAGTAATGCATTCTCTGGGAATTTGGTGATGATGGTTTTTTTCCCTGTTCAGAGAAATTTTTTATTGAAGTTGTTAGGTTTATGTCCTATCCTACATCCTGATTTTACCAGGTTCTGACCACCAGATGGTGCTGTTCCCCACTCAATGTTAAAGGGATAGTTAACCTAAATTACATATTGGTTTCCTTAGTCTATGGACAAGGTATGACAGCAACCCAAGCTTTGGTTTTGTTTACCTGGCAACTATTTCAAATGCTAACTTTTTATCAATTGTAGCACAAATCCAATACAAGTCAATGGTATCTATATTAGCATGTCCTGCTTCATATCCAACGTAATTGAGTTACTCAATCAATTTTTAGATACTTTAGGATGATTTGAACACGAATCGTGAAAATGCTAATATAGGTACCATTGACTTGCATTGGATTTGTACCAAACGCTATGGGTGGCTTTTGACCATTCTTTTGGATTCATCATGTCTAACTCATTGTTAGAAAAACGTTTTGTCCAGATTTTAGGTATTATATTTATTGAATATTATATGAATCCTATAAATACAAAATTGCCAATTTGGAAACTTCCACCTAAAAACCATATTTTGGTATTTGTTTCATTAGTCCATTGTTGATATAGTCCCAAAATGTTTTGCACGTCAGCAATCAAGATCTATAACTTTCAAAATACAGAAACACAGCTGGTATGATGCATTTTGCATCATATGATGCAGAGTGCAGCATCATACCAGCTGTATTTCTACAAAATAATGTTGCAGGAATGCGAATCTTATTTGTTTCTAACAACAAATTATTTCCGAACAATCTGAGATGGTGGGTTTCAAAATCCTCTTTCTTGTGCTTTTTGAAGTGGAACGACCCATTGGTTAAGAGTGGACCAGAGAGCAACGTTGGTGTCACAAAAGCAAAGAACATCCCATACAGTATAATACACCAGACAACATAGATACACATTCTAATACAGCATTTCTACTAATAAAACATACTTAGTAAGGATCAGTATTACCTGGACAGGACAACAACCATAGCATACAGGTCAATGGCACTGTCTGCCACTCTCTTCAGCACAAACTGCTCATCTGTAATGGAGAGGAGACATAACATCAGAATACAGCCATATAATATTGGCCATTAAACACTATGTTTCTTAGAGCTTGGTCAGAGCATGTTATCCTATGGTCATTTTGCATACAACCTTCCCACAACGTTCTCTGAATGGTGCAGGATACCCGGCTAGCACATAACATTCTGAGAACCATATGTTTCTTAGGTGGGAATTTTTGTACTTTAGCATAACATTTTTGGAAGTTTCCTCATGGTTCTATTCAGTCATGTTCTCACAACGTTCAGAAACAACGTTCTTCTGTTGGAATTTCAGTACTTCAGCATAACGTTTTCAGCATGTTTCCTCATGGTTCATTTTAAACTCAAGTTCTCAGAACATTCAAAGAACGTTCTAAGAATTATTTTAAAAACATACATTCCGTTCAGAGCTTCAACAAAACCTTTCTCTATCCTCTCACTTGTTAAGTGTGTTCAGGTGTGTTGGCCGTGCCCACTAATTGGCCACACCGGATCAAAATGAGTGCTTGTTTCCTTTGAAATGGGGTCTGTTTGAATAGACTAAAATGAACAGCTTTGTATCAGTAAAAAAAAACGTGACATGCTACCTCCATAATCCCATGTATAGAGAACAGAAGATCATAGGTTCAAATCTCACTGACGCCGTGCCACAATAAAACGTGTTTGCATGATTAATACCTAAGCAAATTATTTTCCATGTGTCCCATCTGTGCTTGTAGATCAAAACAGTTAATATCACTGCTAGGTTAGTTGAAGTCTTCTTGAAACATGTTCTCAGAATGTTATTTAATTACCTTCAAATAACCTATAATGTTCATTCTCAGAACGTTAATGAAAACTTTGAGAGAACCATAGTAAAACATTCTCAGAACCTCCCAGCAACCTAAAAATTTACATTCCCAGAACAGGCAAAATGTTAACTTCCATTCTCAGAGCTTTTACAAAAATGTATGGCTTCGTTCCCAGAACCAATGGGAAAACAAAAACCTACGTTCCCACAACTTCCAAGGAACCAAATGTGCTAGTTGGGTATCCTTAAATCAGGTTTTCACATTTAGTTTAATATTCTTATGTACTGTAGATGTATTATAAATACTCACGGAGGATGTTCTTGCCGTGTTTGAGCAGCATATCCTCAACGGTGACTCCAAAGTGCTCTATAGCGTTAACAGCCTGGAAGAAATACAGACGTCAATCATCTGGGAGTCTTATACCGTCTTAGACTTAGTGACACATTATGGCATGGATGGATACATACAGCCACGGAGGTCAATGCAAGCTTTGAATCTCTCTCACCAGATCTCCACTGTGAGACAGCTCTGGATGGACTGATCCCTGCAGAGTGAGGCCAGTGCTCAGACCTGCCCTCCTGGATAATGAGAAAGAGACAGAGACAACAAGACAGATGGTTAGGGAGTGTGTTGTAGGGCTGTCCCCGAGTTAAAAAAAAATATTGGTCGACCAAGAGTTGTCTGTTCTTTCGACCAATCGATTGACTGACATTTTTAAACGTGTATTTTTCCATTTTGACACATCCTATGTGTTTTAAATCACATCAACTATATTCACGGAGTTTGTCTGATCCTTTAAGCACACGGTTTGATTAAATAATTAAGAGACAACTATAGGGAGTCTGACCAGCAATTTATTTGATTGTGCTGGGCCGGGCTCAGACTTCATGTACGTGTTAAGAAAAAAAAGACAGCGACTGACTGTGACTAGCACGCGTTGACTCTCTCCTCCCTGCTGCAGCGACCACCACAGAACATCAAAGTGTTTATCGCGCTGTCCGTGTTGCTGAAGCGACAACATAATTACAGCCATTTCTGACTGAAAAGTTCTGGTACCGAAATCTCTCATTTGTTTAGGAAAAACATTCCCTATTCCCTCAACCCTTGCTCTCTTTACGTGACACATGTATGCATCGCAAGCACGTGACCAAATACCTATTCGCACGGGACTAGTATTACTAGAGAACGTTGTTTATGTAATTATTACTCCAGAATGTCAGTTATTCCAGAGGATGTTTCGGACGGGGTTAGTTTTTTTTCCATACTGCCCCCTGAAATTCTTTATTTTTTCCCAATAAATTGACAGTTATGACGCAAGCCTGGAGGTTTTTATTCTAGGCGTGAAGATACAGTATTTCAACATGTCCAGGTGATAAGGCCACACTGATAACTCGAGTTTGATTCACACGTTTCTAAACCATACCAAACCATCTCTCCTATAGTGTCGCCATAATATTTGAATTGAGGAAGTGTGATCATAATCATTAGGATATTTTAGCGATCCACAGTACGTCCTAAATGCCCCCAGCCTTCAGATGTCAGCTAGACAGTGCAATTGCACTTGAGATGCATTTTAAGGCTATGGATGAGAAAGTTAATTTATCATTTCCAAACATTTAGGTCAGTTGTATGCTGCTGCTTTGCGATCTATTAAAAGCAAGGGTTGCATTAAATAGGCTCAATATTTTTTACTGATGCATTTCGTAATATAACATTCATACGCACAAAACATAAACAAAGCTTTCACTGTAAAAGTTGATAAACTATATATGAATGACCTACATGTAGCCTATAGGCAGCACTTTGTTAAATGTATCGAATCAGTTATTGTTTTGTGCAAACCGCGAGCAGCACCTGTCAAACGCAGACATTTCTATCAAAACACAGGAATGTCGATTCGCACAGGACTAGTATGATCAGAGGACCTTGGAGTTACCAAAAAAACAGTAGGTTATTGTGGTTGGAAATGTTACTCTCCTGCCATGTAAAAATTACTGAAATGGCAGATTCTGACGGGAGAAAAATTACAGATGTGGTGTTTTGTGCTCGTGTACATATAACATTACCCGATCTCCCCCAGTAAAACTAATCCCGTCCGAATAGATCACAATAGGGTCTGACCTATAGCCAGGTCCAGTCTTATGGCGAGACCAAAAAATGTGCTGCCCGACAAAACTAGAATACTCCCAGTAAGCAAAATGACGTTGAAGTTAGGTTCAATTCGGGTTCTGAATGAAAGGTCAAAAGGTATTTTCCGTATGTTTAACCTTTTCGCACGTGAGGTGCAAATATCTCTAATGGTCGCCCCAGCGTGAGTTGTTTTACGCATGTGACATCAAACTGCACTCACTTTTCCAAAATGTGATTGTTACGCAACAGGACAGTTAACACGCGCTGCCTGCTAATTATCTATAGGCTGAGTCTACTTCAAATTATTTTCTAAAAAGTTGTATCTTCTAACAACAGTTTGAATTGAGGTGTGTTCTGCCTCCTTACTCATTCACATAGAAGTAGCCCATTTCACTGCTGCGGACAATTTATGTTTGAGGCTTTACTGAGCCTGACAAACTTCCCTCTTTGAGGAGATCAAAATCAAATCCAATTGTATTTGCCACATGCGCTGAATACAACAGGTGTAGACCTTACAGTGAAATGCTTACTTACAAGCCCTTAACCAACAATGCAGTTTTAGGAAAAATAAGTCTTAAGTAAAACATAGATATGTAAAAAATATAAATAATTAAAGAGAAGCAGTAAAATAAAATAACAGTAGGGAGGCTATATACAGGGGGTACTGATACAGAGTCAATGTGCGGGGGGTACAGGTTAGTCGAGGTAATTGAGGTAATATGTACATGTGGGTAGAGTTAGTGACTATGCATAGATAATAAAGTGAGCGTAGCAGCGTAAAAGAGGGGGTGGTGTGGGGTGTTCAATGCAAATAGTCCGGGTAGCCATGATTAGCTGTTCAGGATTCTTATGGCTTGGGGGTAGAAGCTGTTAAGAAGCCTTTTGGACCTAGACTTGGCACTCCGGTATATGACTAGGGTGGCTGGATTCTTTGACAATTTTTAGGGCCTTCCTCTCACACCGCCTGGTATAGAGGTCCTGGTTGGCAGGAAGCTTAGCCCCAGTGATGTACTGGGCCGTATGCAGTACCCTCTGTAGTGCCTTGCGGTCGGAGGCCAAGCAGTTGCTATACCAGGCGGTGATGCAACCAGTCAGGATGCTCTCGATGGTGCAGCTGTAAAACTTTGAGGATCTGAGGACCCATGGAAAATCTTTTCAGTCTCCTGAGGGGGAATAGGCTTTGTTGTGCCCTCTTCACGACTGTCTTGGTGTGTTTGGACCATGATAGTTTGTTGGTGAGGTGGAAACTCTCGACCTGTTCCACTACAGTTGTGCCTGGCCATGCAGTCATGGGTGAACAGGGAGTACAGGAGGGGACTGAGCACGCACCCCTGAGGGGCCCCTGTGTTGAGGTTCAGCGTGGCAGATGTGTTGTTACCTACCCTTACCACCTGGGGGTGGCCCGTCAGGAAGTCCAGGATCCAGTTGCAGAGGGAGGTGTTTAGTCCCAGGGTCCTTAGCTTAGTGATGAGCTTTGAGGGCACTATGGTGTTGAACACTGAGCTGTAGTCAATGAATAGCATTCTCACATAGGTGTTCCTCTTGTTCAGGTGGGAAAGGGCAGTTTGGAGAGCAATTGAGATTCCATCATCTGTGGATCTGTTGGGGCTGTATGCAAATTGGAGTGGGTCTAGGGTTTCTGGGATAATGGTGTTGATGTGAGCCATGACCAGCCTTTCAAAGCACTTCATGGCTACAGACGTGAGTGCTACGGGTCGGTAGTCATTTAGGCAGGTTATCTTAGTGTTCTACCCACATGTACATATTACCTCGACTAGCCGGTGCCCTCGCACATTGAGTCTGTACCGGTACCCCCCCGTATATAGCCTCCCTACTGTTATTTTATTTTACTGCTACTCTTTAGTTATTTGCTTTTATTTTTTATTTAAAAACCTGCATTGTTGGTTAAGGCCCTCTAAGTAAGCATTTCACTGTAATGTCTACACCTGTTGTATTCGGCGCATGTGGCAAATAACATTGATTTGATTTGACTATGGTGGTCTGCTTGAAAAACGTTGGTATTACAGACTCAGTCAGGGACATGTTGAAAATGTCAGTGAAGACACTTGCCAGTTGGTCAGCGCATGCTCGGAGTACATGTCCTGGTAATCCGTCTGGCCCTGCGGCCTTGTGAATGTTGACCTGCTTAAAAGTCTTACTCACATCGGCTACGGAGAGCGTGATCACATAATCATCCGGAACAGCTGATGCTCTCATGCATGCTTCAGTGTTGCTTGCATCGAAGCGAGCATAGAAGTGATTTAGCTCGTCTGGTAGGCTCTCACTGGGCAGCTCGCGGCTGTGCTTCCCTTTGTAGTCTGTAATAGTTTTCAAGCCCTGCCACATCCGACGCGCGTCGGAGCTGGTGTAGTACAATTCAATCTTAGTCCTGTATTGACTCTTAGCCTGTTTGATGGTTCGTCGGAGGGCGTAGCAGTGATTTCTCACCACTTTATTTTAAGAATGTGAAATGTCAGAATAGTAGTAGAGAGAATTATTTATTTCACATTCCCAGTGGGTCAGAAGTTTACATACACTCAATTAGTATTTGGTAGCATTGCCTTTAAATTGTTTAACCTGGGTTAAACGTTTCGGGTAGCCTTCCACAAGCTTTCCACAATAAGTTGGGTGAATTTTGGCCCATTCCTCCTGACAGAGCGGGTGTAACTGAGTCAGGGTTGTAGGCCTCCTTGCTCGCACACGCTTTTTCAGTTCTGCCCAGACATTTTTTATAGGATTGAGGTCAGGGCTTTGTGATGGCCACTCCAATACCTTGACTTTGTTGTCCTTAAGCCATTTTGCCACAACTTTGGAAGTATGCTTGGGGTCATTGTCCATTTGGAAGACCCATTTGCAACCAAGTTTTAACTTCCTGACTGATGTCTTGAGATGTTGCTTCAATATATCCACATAATTTTCCTTCCTCATGATGCCATCTATTTTGTGAAGTGCACCAGTCCCTCCTGCAGCAAAGCACCCCCACAGCATGGTGCTGCCACCCCCGTGCTTCACGGTTGGGATGGTGTTCTTCGGCTTGCAAGCGACCCCCTTTTTCCTCCAAACATAACGATGGTCATTATGGCCAAACAGTTATATTTTTGTTTTATCAGACCAGAGGACATTTCTCCAAAAAGTACGATCTTTGTCCCCATGTGCAGTTGCAAACTGTAGTCTGGCTTTTTTATGGCGGTTTTGGAGCAGTGGCTTCTTCCTTGGTGAGCGGCCTTTCAGGTTATGTCGATATAGGACTCGTTTTACTATGGATATAGATACTTTTGTACCCGTTTCCTCCAGCATCTTCACAAGGTCCTTTGCTGTTGTTCTGGGATTTATTTGCACCAAAGTACGTTCATCTCTAGGAGACAGAACACGTCTCCTTCCTGAGCGGTATAACGGCTGCGTGGTCCCATGGTGTTTATACTTGCATACTATTGTTTGTACAGATGAACATGGTACCTTCAGGCGTTTTGAAATTGCTCCCAAGGATGAACCAGACATGTGGAGGTCTACAATTTTTTTTCTGAGGTCTTGGCTGATTTCTTTTGATTTTCCGATGATGTCAAGCAAAGAGGCACTGAGTTTGAAGGTAGGCCTTGAAAAACATCCACATGTACACCTTCAATTGACTCAAATGATGTCAATTAGTCTATCAGAAGCTTCTAATGCCATGACATCATTTTCTGGAATTTTCCAAGCTGTTTAAAAGGCACAGTCAACTTAGTGTATGTAACCTTCTGACCCACTGGAATTGTGATACAGTGAATTATAAGTGAAATAATCTGTCTGTAAACTATTGTTGGAAAAATTACTTGTGTCATGCACAAAGTAGATGTCCTAACCGACTTGCCAAAACTATAGTTTGTTAACAAGAAATTTGTGGAGTTGGTTGAAAAACGAGTTTTAATGACTCCAACCTAAGTGTATGTAAACTTCCGACTTCAACTGTACGTACGGTCACTGTGGGGACGACGTCATCTATGCACTTATTGATGAAGCCAGTGACGGATGTAGTGTACTCCTCAATGCCATCGAAAGAATCCCGGTACATATTCCAGTCTGTGCTAGCAAATCAGTCCTGTAGCTTAGCATCTGCGTCATCTGACCACTTCCTTATTAACCAAGTCACTGGTGCTTCCTGCTTTAGTTTTTGCTCATAAGCAGGAATCAGGAGGATAGAGCATATCATAATCACATCAATAAATTGGTTACAACAAACTCTGAACAACACTAAATAAAGTATAAGCATACCAGAGAGTCTGTTGTAACGTTTTCTTATGCTAAGCCTTTATGACAGGAAAGACTACAGTCGCATTCATTTGTCAATGCAATTTCCGAAATCAAACGGTTTATTTATTGTTTAAGCTAATTATTCAAGGCTCGCTTTTATTTTATTTTAAAACTAAAATGCTTGATTACATTTCAAATCATGAATGACTCGTATGCTGTGTGATGACATGAACAAATGAAATATCGATTGATTGATACAGTAGCCTATAGAAGTATTGAAATTTAGGCCTAAGTAAGTTACGGTATTAAGACTAAACAGGATGCGCTCTTAGGCCTACAGCTCGATGGTGGTTATACAAGGCTGCTATACTAGACCTCCTAATGATAATGACATGACTTATTATTATAATAATAATATGAAGGAGATCAAGAAAAAATAGATGTATTATTATTATAAATATCATGTTTTTGACAATTTGGAACAGTGTAAACACGAAATAAAATATAAATAATACCAGAGGCTGTAAATCCTTTACTACAGCAAAGCAAAGATTAAAAACAGCAACATTTGTGAAATTGTTTACTTGAGATGTTGTGTGAGGCTTGGTGCTCACGGAATCAGTAGGCTATTAAACAAACACTCAAACAGGCAACATAAGCAGGATCGGTCTTATTTCTGTAGATATATTGATGATTTATAAAGCCAGGCACATTTAACAGTTAGGCTATTGATTATAGACCTAGTTAAGTTGGGGTTTCCTCTCTCCTCACTTTTCTTAGACAATAAGGCAAGGGCTGTTTTCTCATCTCCTCATTCTGCTGCTGCTTCTGGCATTGTTCTCAACACCAATATGCTGGTTAACGTTGCTATTATGCACATAGCATCATGGTCTAGGAAAAGGCGCCAATTCAACAGCGCACTGATGTTTCAGAACCGTGGACAGCGACTGCTATCCAACGAGGGAGCGCATGTTATAAAATAATATAATTTGTATTAGTGTTGCACCATTTTTTAAATGTAATATAACCATATACAATTTCAGTAGCACGTCTTAGACTGATGGACTGTGCCATCACCACGGCCTCCACAATGGATCAGTCCACTCAGCGCAAATCAGACCGGTGTCTTGTACACCATAATATATATATTTTTTTAGATTCGCTTTTTTGCTTCTGCTCGACTAAAGAAATCTCGGTCGACCAAACAATCGACAAGCGGGCTTCTTAAACAGCGTGTTACACACTGACCTCTTGGCCCTCTTGGTCACCTCTCCAGCTAGCAGCCCAGCGTTGCCCAGAGGGTTCTTCAGAGCCTTCTGTAGAGACTTCAGGTGCTTCCCTGCATCCTGGAAACAACAGGAGGATCAACACCATTCACTCAACACATCTCACACTGACATATAAAAAGCCATAGGAATATAATTACTAGAACAGGAACATATTGGGTACACTCAATATGGCCTCCAGCCCACCCATCACGGAACAGTGACTTGAATGGGGATTGCCGTTCTTGTAATTCTATTTCTGTTTCTAGTTCAAAAACAGACTGTATGATTGTTCAGACAAAATAGGTCACGTGTACTGTACCTGGAATCCGTTGAGAGCCACAAACAGTCTGAGAATGTCGTTGGTTCCCTCAAAGATTCTGAAGATTCTAAGATCCCTCATCACCCTCTCCACACCAGAGCCCTGGATACAGACCACAAGAAACAGCCATAAGATTTCAGTCTTCAAAGGCACCACTCTTAGTCACTCACAGTAAGCACACACACCAAACATAAAATAATATAGCCGCTCTGTAGTCATGTCTACACACCAACAATGTCCATTCTAGTGTTCTAAATCTATTTCTATGTAAGACACTGATATTAAACCAGGGATGAAAGTAAGCCGGTAAATAAATAGTGGGGGTACAATAATTAAAACAAAGATGCCAAGAAAACTGTATGCTATAATACTATTATTTATTATTACCCCATGTCAGTCGCATGAAAAATGAGCGAAAGGACTTGAAAACATGTAGAATACACTCCAAAATGCAGTGTGGGTCAACGATAGCAGTGAGACCTCTGGTGGCATGTCTTGTGGGGTATGCATGGGTGTCCGAGCTGTGCAGCTCGGTGCTTTCAACATGCCAATACCTCTTACAAATACAATTAGTGATGAAGTCACTCTCCTCCACTTTGAGCCAGGTGAGATTGACATGCATATCATTAATGTTTGATATCTGTGTACATCCAAGGGCCAGCCGTGCTGCCCTGTTCTGAGCCAATTGCAATTTTCCTAAGTCCCTCTTTATGGCACCTGACCACACGACTGAACAGTAGTCCAGGTGCGACAAAACTAGAGCCTGTAGGACCTGCTTTGTATAGTGCTGTTAAGAAGGTAGAGGAGCGCTTTATTATGGACAGACTTCTCCCCATCTTAGCTACTGTTGTATCAATATGTTTTGACCATGACAGTTTACAATCCAGGGTTACTCCAAGCTGTTTTGTCACCTCAACTTCCACATTATTTATTAGATTTAGTTGAGGTTTAAGGTTTAGTGAATGATTTGTCCCAAATACAATGCTTTTAGTTTTGAAATATTTAGGACTAATTTATTCCTTGCCACCCATTCTGAAACTAACTGCAGCTCTTTGTTAAGTGTTGCAGTCATTTCAGTCATTGTAGTAGCTGACGTGTATAGTGTTGAGTCATCCGCATACATAGACACACCGGCTTTACTCAAAGCCAGTGGCATGTCGTTAGTAAAGATTGAAAAAAGTAAGGGGCCTAGACAGCTGCCCTGGAGAATTCCTGATTCTACCTGGATTTTGTTGGAAAGGCTTCCATTAAAGCACACCCTCTGTGTTCTTTTAGACAGGTAACTCTTTATCCACAATATAGCAGCCATAACACTTATGTTTTTCCAGCAGCAGACTTTGATCGCTAATGTCAAAAGCCACACTGAAGTCTAACAAAACAGCCCCCACAATATTTTTATCATCAATTTCTCTCAGTCAATCATCAGTCATTTGTGTAAGTGCTGTGCTTGTTGAATGTCCTTCCCTATAAGCGTGGTGAAAGTCTGTTGTCAATTTGTTTACTGTAAAATAGCATTGTATCTGGTCAAACACAATTTTTTCCAAAGCTTTACTAAGGGTTGGTAACAGGCTGATTGGTCGGTTATTTGAGCCAGTAAAGGGGGCTTTACTATTCTTAGGTAGTGGAATGACTTTTGCGTCCCTCCATGCCTGAGGGCACACACTTTCTAGTAGGCTTAAATTGAAGATATGGCAAATAGGAGTGGCAATATCGTCCGCTATTATCCTCAGTAATTTTCCATCCCTGGTGGCTTGTCATTGTTGATAGACAACAATAATTTGTTCACCTCTTCCACACTCACTTTACGGAATAGAAAATTACTATTCTTGTCTTTCATAATTTGGTCAGATATACTTGGATATGTAGTGTCAGCATTTGTTGCTGGCATGTCATGCCTAAGTTTGCTAATCTTGCCAATGAAAAAAATCTTTGAAGTAGTTGGCGGTTTTGTGATGAATGAGCCATCTGTTTCAATGAATGATGGAGCCGTTTGCCTTTTTTCCCAAAATTTAATTGAAGGCGCTCCAAAGCTTTTTACAATCATTCTTTATGTCATTTATCTTTATTTCATAGTGTGGTTTTTTCTTTTTATTCAGTTTAGTCATGATTTCTCAATTTGCAGTACGTTTGCCAATCGGTTGTGCAGCCAGACTTACCATTCCTTTTGCCTCATCCCTCTCAACCATACAAAATTTCAACTCCTCATCAATCCACGGGGATTTAACAGTTTTTACAGTCATTTTCTTAATGCGTGCATGCTTATTAGTAACTGGGATAAGCAATTTCATAAATGTATCAAGTGCAACGTCTGTTTGCTCCTCATTCCACACCACGGACCAACAAATATTATTTACATAAACAACATCGGAATCACTACAAAACGTATTGTATGACCTCTTATACACTATATTAGGCCCAGCCTTTGGAACTTTGGTTTTCCTAGATATGGCTATATTGTGATCACTACATCCGATGAATCTGGATACTGCTTTCAAGCACATTTCTGCAGCATTAGTAAAGATGTGATCAATACATGTTGATGATTTCATTCCTGTGCTGTTTGTAACTACCTTGGTAGGTTGACTGATAACCTGAACCAGGTTGCAGGCACTGGTTAGTTACAGTTTGAGGCTTTTTCTTGAGTGGGCAGCTTGATGAAAGCCAGTCAATACATGTTATCCAGATACTGACTGTTAGCACTTGGTCTATAGCAGCTTCCCACAAGAATGGGCTTTAGGTGAGGCAGATGAACATGTAGCCATATTAGTTCAACAGTATTTAACATGAGATCCTCTAATCTTTACAGAAATGTGGTTCTGAATATACACATTAACACCTCCACCACTGGCATTTCTGTATTTTCTGTAAATGTTATAACCTTGTATTGCTACCACTGTATTATCATGGGTATTGTCTAAGTGAGTTTCAGAGATATTCAGAATATGAATGTCATCCATTACTGGTAAATTATTAATTTCATGAACCTTGTTTCTTAAGCTACATATGTTAACGTGGGCTATTTTGAGCACTTTTCTGGGATGCTTGCTTGTTTTCATTGCTTTACTGGTAAGCTTAGCAGAAGTAGATGTTCTCATGTTATTTATGTTAGTGCAGGGTGAGCTGCACACAGTGGACTTTCTACTAGGGCACACCGCCTCAGTGCTAATAGCATAAATCTGGTTTATATGCACATGATTGCTGCATACAATAGCTATAGGATCAGCAGAGGCATTCAGGGCAGTTAGAGGGACATAAATTAGGTTACTTACATTGTGTCTACCAATGCCCCTGGTATAATGTACATTTGCTAAAGCATTATGATGACTCAGCGACACAATGGTAGGGATTAACTGAGCTGGGCTTGGGTCCTTGATAAGTCATTGTCACAACGCAGCCTTATAATGCTGTGAAAGGATCCAAGAACCCAAATGATTTGGGTGGATCCCATCCTCCTTATAAAATGTGTTTTGTTTCCACCGGCGTAGAAAAGGACATTCCACTCTGCGTTTTCCCCAGTTTCTTACGTAGGCTGGCGACCTGTGTGATCAAGGAAGCCACCTCAAGCCTATAATCCTCAGCAAGCAAACAATTGCCGCATTGGAACTCTGAGTGATCCAGTTTGTCCTGAAACAAAGCGTAGTAGATACAGCTCCTACAGCGCTGGAACCGTTCATTTACTTCTCCAGACAAAGAGGGCTCCATTGGAAAACTCATCTGGGACTAACTTCGTTAGCTTGATGGCTAAAGTTAGAATTGATTGTTTGACAGCTCAAAACAATTTGTTTTAATGTCGTATAGAGCTGGTCTTCTTTTTAAACAATCTTTAGTAAGAGCTGTCATTTTATTGTGAGTAACTGTAGTTTCATCAGACATTATTTCTGTTTCGTCCTCTGTAATGTGAGTAATCCACCAAGTTTATGCCACATTACCTTTTTAATGCATTTTTAAAATAAAAGAACACATTTTTACTTTTAGGCCCACAGATAAAGATTATATATGTAATTCTATGATTAGGCCTATAAAAAAAATATTTGCGCACGCACATACCGAGAAGAAATTAAATCTACTTTCACCCCTGTATATAACCATTATATTTATATGTACAACACTCATATAACCACTCACTCCCAACAATCCCAGCAGCCACCCAGACTCACCTTCATGAAGCCCATTCCTCCCATGACCTGGATGCACTCATCAGTCACTTCCCAGGCCGCCTCCTACGAGAGAGAGAGAAGGTTATTATAGTTGTGCTTTTATATTAGTTTTTAGATTATTTAGTTTAAGTTTTATAAAAATAAATCGTTCGTTTCAGTTTTAGTGTCAAGGACAGGCTAGGAGACATTTATATGTTGTATAGTTTGTGCTTTTGGGGATGTCACTTCTTGCCACTGTGGGGCAGTAGTGCATGAGGTGATGGGGAAAGTCATAGGTTAGGTTTAAAGGTAGACTCAGTGAGATGACATAGAATAGATGCACAAAGTAAACAGTAGTAGCGGGTCAATTTCCACAACAACCAGGAGCGTTGGAGCGCGAGGTTAAACTTCTCTGCACTTGTGGTCCCGTAGCGTGTGAGTTGTAGGAGCGTGAAGTAGAGGTCTTCACGGGTCCAACAGACCAGATATTCCGAGATCCGACCCTGGACTCGAGTGGGTGCGAGTCCTAAATTCTGACTTTTGTCTCGGATCTGGGTCAGTTTGATATAATTGCCATGAGTCTCAGTTATGTGCAATTAAAATTGATTTATCGACTGGACCCGATTGAACCCGTCCTCTGTTAATTTAATGTATGCGAGTCGATGAGAACTGTGTGAGCTTGTCATCTATGTCAGCCAATTGCAACACAAAATGTATAGCTTACAGTGGCTTGCGAAAGTATTCACCCCCCTTGGCATTTTTCCTATTTTGTTTCCTTACAACCTGGAATTAAAATTGATTTTGGGGGGTTTGTATCATTTGATTTACACAACATGCCTACCACTTTGAAGATGCAAAATATTTTTGGTATAAAACAAACAAGAAGTAAAGACAAAGAAACAGAAAACTTGAGCGTGCATAACTATTCCCCCCACCAAAGTCAATACTTTGTAGAGCCACCTTTTGCAGCAATTACAGCTGCAAGTCTCTTGGGGTATGTCTCTATAAGCTTGGTACATTTAGCCACTGTGATTTTTGCCCATTCTTCAAGGCAAAACTGCTCCAGCGTCTTCAAGTTGGATGGGTTCCGCTGGTGTACAGCAATCTTTAAGTCATACCACAGATTCTCAATTGGATTGAGGTCTGGGCTTTGACTAGGCCATTCCAAGACATTAAAAATGTTTCCCCTTAAACCACTCGAGTGTTGCTTTAGCAGTATGCTTAGGGTCATTGTCCTGCTGGAAGGTGAACCTCCATCCCAGTCTCAAATCTCTGGAAGACTGAAACAGGTTTCCCCTCAATAATTTCCCTGTATTTAGCGCCATCCATCATTCCTTCAATTCTGACCAGTTTCTCAGTCCCTGCAGATGAAAAACATCCCCACAACACGCTGCCACCACCATGCTTCACTGTCGGGATGGTGTTCTCGGGGTGATGAGAGGTGTTGGGTTTGCGCCAGACATAGCATTTTCCTTGATGGCCAAAAAGCTCAATTTTAGTCTCCCACATGCCTTTTGGCAAACAACAAAGTGTTTGCTTATTTTTTTCTTTAAGCAATAGTGGTGCCCCTTGCTTAGTGGTGTTGCAGACTATGGGGCCTTTCAGAACAGGGGTATATATACACACTGAGATCATGCGACAGATCATGTGACACTTAGATTGCACACAGGTGGACTTTATTTAACTAATTGTGACTTCTGAAGGTAATTGGTTGCACCAGATCTTATTTAGGGGCTTCATAGCAAAGGGGGTGAATACATATGCACACACCACTTTTCTGTTATGTATTTCTTATAATTTTTTGAAACAAGTTATTTTTTTCATTTCACTTCACCAATTTGGACTATTTTGTGTATGTCCATTACATGAAATCCAAATAAAAATCAATTTAAATTACAGGTTGTAATGCAACAAAATAGGAAAAATGCCAAGGGGGATGAATACTTTTGCAAGGCACTGTATGTCCAGCTGAAACTGGTTTTGGCTGCTCATGTCACATGCGCCTGCTGCTGAGGAGAGGGAGAGAGAGAGCAAGTGAAAGGAGCCTTTCACTGTTGATAGCAAAGATGGAGGCCTTTTTCATTCAAGTAAAATGAAAGAGGAGAAAAAGTATAGTGAAAAGAAGCTGGAATGTTGTCTGGAACAAGTTTTAGTGGACAAAGATGAGAAGAACGTTGGCGTGGCCAAATAGACTGTGTGTGCAACTCGCTATTCAGGTTTGATGCAATTTTCTAACTTTTATTTATTTATTTTCGTATTTATTATCATTCGTTTTCTCATTAGACTATTATCATTATTGTATATCATTACTGTTATTATTGTATGTGTATTTTATCATCTAAACCAGTTCTTTATATATGCAAAAAGTGTTTTGTTTAATTTAGTTGATACATTTTCACTCGCTAAATTAAGTTCGAACTGTCGTTTTAATTTTGTGCTAAATTTTGTTAGAGATGGGTTAAAAATAGGCCGGTTGTCAAAATAAATAGCCTTAGCCTATTGCTGTCATTTGTTGAGTTCTGTTGAGGCATTTTCTTTGGCCAAATTAAGTTAAATTAAGTGAATGTTGTGTTTGCCGCAATATAATAGAATTACCGGCACTTAAACCATGAAAAGGAAAAACCAGAAGAGGGCGAGATGCAAAACTTAATTTAATGCCGCAATATAATAACGTATTTCCCTGTAAACAATTAATTGACTTAGGCCTACTTTTGATATTACCCTTATAAAGTTAAACTTTTGTGAAGGTTTTCTGTGGTATGGCTATTATTAGGCTTAACTATGCAGGTCTATGAAGGCTGTGCACAACAGCGTTCCAACTGACTCTCCGACAGTTGAAGTTGAGGTGAGGAGGAATGTTTTAGGCCTACCAGAGTAACTAACGCCTTTAATCTAACAATACAATGCTTATCTTTATAAAAAAATATTCAGATAGAACATTTACTAATTAGCCTCCTTCTGTACGCCTATTTGTATAGCAGTAGTATCTGACAAGTAGCCTATAAAGAAATGCATGTCAGTGTTGGGAACATGGCGCTGGCATATCTATATCTTTCTCTCGGTCACTCTAGGGCTAGGCCTAAGCTTCTCTTCCTTTATAGTTATATTTTAAATATTCATATCATGCAGTGGACGCCTTGGCCTATATGCATACAATGCCCTGATGCATTTTGCGCTCGAGTCTCCGACAGCTGAACCATGTGGACAATTCGGCCTATTGTTTTAGGAAAGTAAAAACCAATAGGCTATAAAGTTGAGTATTCTACACATCGAAACAACAAATATTTGTATTTGTTAAAGGCAGTTAAGGACACTTAACTGTGGATCATTTGGCCAATATCGCTTGTTTATTGATTGCGCTTTCAGCGCCTGGTCGGAGGTTTCTTTCGCTCTCTTTCTACTCTCGGATCTTTTTGGACCCGTGAAGACCTCTAGTGTGAAGTGCACCCGTGCACATGCACAGATACTCTATGTGACTGGTTGAGAGTAAAGTCTTGAATCGTTCTCATCTCAATGGGAGTGTTCGAGTGGCTCACTTTTCTTAAGTCAAGCTTTTCAAAGTGTGTTGCATTCTAGGCAGGCAACTGTTGTCTTACATTCAGAAAATACACTTTAGTCTTCTTTAGTATTTACAGTCTACGCACTTCTGGATCAATCAATACATTTTCTGACTGATTCAAATATACATTTGGTGTCATGAGGTTTCTTATGAAAATGCATTCATTTAGCAATTTATTATGGAATATTTACACAATTGAAGTAGGAGTTATGAAATTCCGGCACTCCAAGTGTTAAAAGGGGATAGGATAAAAGCAGACAGTGCTGTACTGTACTCACAGAGGCAAAGATTTTGCTGATAGCAGCTTCGATATGGTAATCTTTGGATCCACTGTCCATGTTTCCACTGATCATGTAGGCCATGGACTGAAAGAGAGGGGAGAAGGGGACATGAAAATCACAACAGGATGACAAGAGAAGCTCCCTGTTAAGGCTAGGGCTGATTTCAAGGTTTTACTGCTAACCTACGAAGCATTACATGGACTACCTATCTCTCCGATTTGGTCCTGCCGTATATATACAGTACCAGTCAAAGGTTTGGACACACCTACTCATTCCAGGGTTTTTCTTAATTTTTACATTGTAGAATAATAGTGAAGACATCAACACTATGAAATAACACATATGGTATCATGTAGTAACCAAATAAAGTGTTAAACAAATCAAAATATATTTGAGATTTGAGATTCTTCAAAGTAGCCACCTTTTGCCTTGATGACAGCTTTGCACACTCTTGGCATTCTCTCAACCAGCTTCATGAGGTAGTCACCTGGAATGCATTTCAATTAACAGGTGTGCTTTCTTAAAAGTTAATTTGTGGAATTAATTTCCTTCTTAATGCGTTTGAGCCAATCAGTTGTGTTGTGACAAGGTGGGTGTGTATACAGAAGATAGCCATATTTGGTAAAAGACCAAGTCCATATTATGGCAAGAACAGCTCAAATAAGCAAAGAGAAACGACAGTCCATCATTACTTTAAGACATGAAGGTCAGTCAATACGGAACATTTCAAGAACTTTGAAAGTTTCTTCAAGCGCAGTTGCAAAAACCATCAAGCGCTATGATGAAACTGGCTCTCATGAGGACCACCACAGGAATGGGTTACCTCTGCTGCAGAGGATAAGTTAATTAGAGTTACCAGCCTCAGAAATTGCAGCCCAAATAAATGCTTCACAGAGTTCAACTCACAGACACATCTCAACATCAACAGTTCAGAGGGGACAGTGTGAATCAGGACTTCATGGTCGAATTGCTGCAAAGAAACCACTACTAAAGGACACCAATAATAAGAAGAGACCTGCTTGGGCCAAGAAACACGAGCAATGGACATTAGACCGTTGGAAATTTGTCCTTTGGTCTGGAGTCCAAATTGGAGATTTTTGTTTCTTTACTATTTTAAAAACTGCCAATAATGAATATGAACTGAAAAAGGATATAATGTAGTTTCTTGCAATAGTGGTGTGGGCGAACGGATGATCCCCGCATGTGTATTTCCCACCGTAAAGCATGGAGGAGGAGGTGTTATGGTGTGGGGGTGGTTTGCTGGTGACACTGATTTATTAAGAATTCAACGCACACTTAACCAGCATGGCTACCACAGCACTCTGCAGCGACACGCCATCCCATCTGGTTTGGGCTTAGTGGGACTATCATTTGTTTTTCAACAGGACAATGACCCAACACACCTCCAGGCTGTGTAAGGGCTATTTGACCAAGAAGTAGAGTGATGGAGTGCTGCATCAGATGATCTGGCCTCCACAATCCCCTGACCTCAACTCAATTGAGATGGTTTGGGATGAGTCAGACCACAGAGTGAAGGAAAAGCAGCCAACAAGTGCTCAGCACATGTGGGAACTCCTTCAAGACTGTTGGCAAAGCATTCCAGGTGAAGCTGGTTGAGAGAATGGCAAGAGTGTGCAAAGCTATTATCAAAGCAAAGGATGGTTATTGAATCTGAAATAGATGATTGTTTAACAGTTTTTGTGTATGGGGGAGGTGATATGGGGGGGAAAAGTGGGGGTGGGGATAGGGGGGGAGATAGAGAGAGAGAGAGAGCGCGAGAGCGAGAGGAGTAGAGAAGAGAGAGAGCGAAGAGAGAGAGAGAAGAGAGAGAGAGAGAGAGCGAAGAGAGAGAGAGGGAGAGGAGAGAGAGGAGAGAGAGAGAGAGAGAAGAGATGAGAGAGAGTATCTCTCTCGAGAGAGGAGGATAGGAGGAGTAGCAGAGGAGAGGATAGAGAGTATCGTATCATCTAATGCTAGATATATCTAGAGAGTATCGATATCTATCTCTCTATATCTCTCCTCTCTCTCCTTCTCATCTCTCTCTCTCTCTCTCTCTCTCTCTCTCTATCTCTCTATCTCTATCCTCTCTCTATCTCTCTCTCTCTCTCTCTCTCTATCATTTATTCCTGACGTGCTGATCTGTTGCACCCACTATAACCACTCTGATTATTATTTCACTCTGCTGATCTATGAACGTTTTGGACATCTTGAAGAACGATCTAGCCTTAATGGACATGTCCTTTTATCATCTCCACCGGCACATCCAGAAGAGGACTGGCCACCCCTCAGAGCCTGGTTCTTCACTAGTTTACTTCCTAACTTCCTGCCTTTCTAGGGAGTTTTTTTTCTAGCCACCATGCTTCTATATCCGCATTGCTTACTCTTTGGGGTTTTAGGCTGGGTTTCTGTATAAGCACTTTGACATCTGATGATGTAAAAAGGGCTTTATAAATACATTTGGTTGATTGATTGAGTAATGGATTATGATGTGCATTATGCCATTGCTTCCTTCTTTCTGCCAGTGGCTGTAAGCATACCATGCACAGGAGGCTGGTGGCACCTTAATTGGGGAGGACGGGCTCGTGGTAATGACTGGAGCGGAATAGGTGGAATGGTATCAAATACATGGTTTCCATTCAATTTGCTCCGTTCCAGCCATTATTATGAGCCGTCCTCCCCTCAGCAGCCTCCACTGACACCATGTCAGCTGAAGTGTGGAGAGCTTTCTGAAGCAAAATGGCTGCCATGACATCGCCCACAGGGTGCTACACATTGGTGGTGGTTGAGGTGGGTTTCCCCTCATACTATGTCAAATGCTTTGAGTGTGTGGAAAAGCAATACAATAAATCCAATCCATTTTCAAATCAATAGATATCCTGTGTACCTCAGTGACATATTGCAGCATGGCCATGTGTGCCAACTTCTCCTGGATAGCGCCATAGGTGTGGATCTTACTGCCAAACTGGACCCTGTTGGCTGCATGGTCCACCTGGGCGAAGAGACAAGGACAGTAGTCAGTATGTAGGGGAGGTCAGGAAGTACTAAAACCAATACAGTAACAGCGCTTCAATGGGACTAGACAGACTCAACTGAAGGGCAAATAGTTGTAACTCTATTTGGATAGCCCCACACGGCGTTACTCACAGCCTGGGTGATGACTCCCTTCATGGTGCCGGAGAGGGCGGCGGCCATGCCGAAGCGTCCGTTGTTGAGGATGGCCATGGCCACCTTGAAGCCGCCACCTACCTCTCCCATGACATTCTCAATAGGTACCGGGACGTTCTCAAAGTACACCTCCGCTGTGTTGGATGCCTTAATACCCATCTTCTTCTCAGGGGGGCCGCTGGGGGGAAGGAGGGAGAAGGTAACGAAATGTTAACGATACATGTAGTCACGCTGTTGTGTCTTATCTAACTTAGTTGAATGCACTGACTATAAGTCGCCTGGATAAGAGTGTTTGCTTAAAGCCCTAAATTAAAATGTAAATGTGTGCACATTTCTTTGTTTTGTTTGTATTTTAGTCTGCAACTTGTTTAAAATTTGGATGTGCATTTTCATAACAAAAACTTCTTAAAATATTCACTAAAAACAAGACTATGGACAGACAGAGAACTAATATAGAGAGACTGGGATCGTCATCAAATCAACAATCATGTGAAGCTTCCAACACGAAACATACAGTACATACTCTTACTTAAATTCCCCCATTTCAGACCTCCCTCTTCCAATTCCACCCTTTCATCCATCCTTTCATCCATCCCTCCCTACCTCCATCCACCATCTGTCACTCACTGTGTCACTCCTCCGAAGCTCCTCTCCACGATAAAGGCTGTGATTTTGTCCTTCATTTGTCCTGTCTTCTCGTCCATCATGGGCATCTTGGCAAACACTGTGAAGATCTCAGCCAGACCTCCATTACTGACAACACAGACAAACAGTCAGGATAAATCAAAGAAAACAATAACAATACAATATACAACCACAGGTACACTGAGTGTGCAAAACATTAGGAACACCTTTCTAATATTGAGTTGCAACCCCCCCTCCTTTTCCACTCAGAACAGCTTCAATAAGGTGTCGAAAGCGTTCCACAGGGATGCTGGCCCATGTTGACTCCAATGTTTCCCACAGTTGTGTCAAGTTGTCTGGATGTCCTTTGGGTGGTGGACCATTCTTAATACTCACCGGAAACTGTTGAGCGTGAAAAACCCAGCAGTGTTGCAGTTCTTAACACACTCAAACCGGTGCGCCTGGCATCTACTACCATACCCTGTTCAAAAGGCACTTAAATATTTGGTCTTGCCCATTCACCCTCTGAATGGCACACATACACAATCCATGTCTCAATTGTCTCAAGCCTTAAAAATCATTCTTTAACTGGTCTTCTCCCCTTCGTCTACACTGATTGAAGTGGATTTAACAGATTACATCAATAAGGGACCATAGCTTTCAGTCTATGTCATGGAAAAAGCAATGTTTTGTACACTCAGTATATTGTCATAAAGCGAGAACGCCTTACTACAAAACTAATTTTCCCATCATCCAAAGCTGACAAGAGACTCCATCGCTCTCCATTTTATCCCATCTAACTACTACCACTTTTCCTTTCCTTTTGTCTGTATACTGCAATTCAGCTATGAATGTGTACAAGACATAAACCACACTAAACATTGTGTTTGACATTTGCCATACTAAATACTACCACAATCTTGGTGGTCCTGCAGTACCTGATCCAGATCTTGCCTCCATTGAGGATGTAGTGTTTTCCACAGGGAGAGAGGGTAGCCAGGGTCTTTATGGACGCAGCGTCAGAGCCACTGGCTGGTTCAGTCAGACAGAAAGCAGCCAGGGTCTCACCTAGATAGAGGAGGAAAGAAAAAGAAGAGAAATAAGGAGAACAGATAGATTACAAAATGCCTTAACTGTAATTACACAGTCAAAAATATAATAATATATAGGTATAACCAAATAAAATTACACACACACACACACACAGAGAGAGACAGAGACATAGAGAGAGAAACGACAAAGCTGGAATAGTGCATAGTGATCAGAAATGTCCATTCCAGCCTCTCTCACCTGTGGCAAGCTTGGGCAGGTATTTCTCCTTCTGGGCAGGGTTACCAAACAGTAGGATGCCCTTGAAACCGATGGACTGGTGGGCACCCAGAGTGATGCCAACCCCCAGATCATGCTGGCCCACGATCTCCACCAGCCTGGCATACTGTTCAATAAAAGCACATTAAAACATGAGTGTACTTAATTCACACAGTACACTCTACCAGTCTGGTGTACTATGTAATAGGACACAAAGGTAAGAAAACAGTTGAGTCTTGAAGTCTTATTTTGCAGCCATTCTTATCAAGAGCAACATACATAGCTCAGAGTTTCCCCAAACGTTTGAACGGTAGTGTGTGTGTGTATATATATATATATAGTACCAGTTCAAAGTTTGGACACACCTACTCAATCCAGGGTTTTTCTTTATTTTTACTATTTTCTACATATGAAATAACACATATGGAATCAGGTAGTCACCAAAAAGTGATTATTCAAATAGCCACCCTTTGCCTTGATAATAGCTTTGCACAGTCTTGGCATTCTCTCAACCAGCTTCACCTGGAATGCTTTTCCAACAGTCTTGAAGGAGTTCCCACATATGCTGAGCACTTGTTGGCACTTTTCCTTCACTCTGCGGTCCGACTCATCCCAAACAATTTCAATTGGGTTGAGGTCAGGGTATTGTGGAGGCCAGGTCATCTGATGCAGCGCTCCATCACTCTACTTCTTGGTAAAATAGCCCTTACACAGCTTGGAGGTGTGTTGGGTCATTGTCCTGTTGAAAAACAAATGATAGTCCCACTAAGCCCAAACCAAATGGGATGGCGTATCGCTGCAGAGTGCTGTTACGTGTGCCTTGAATTCTAAATAAAACACAGAAGGAGTCACCAGCGAAGCACCCCCACACCATAACACCTCCTTCTCCATTCTTTACGGTGGGAACCACACACGCGGAGATCATCCGTTCACTCACACCGCGTCTCACAAAGACATGGCGGTTGGAACCAGACCAAAGGACAAATTTCCACCAGTCTAATGTCCATTGCTCATGTTTCTTGGCCCAAGCAAGTCTCTTCTTCTTATTGGTGTCCTTTAGTAGTGGTTTCTTTGCAGCAATTCGACCATGGAGGCCTGATTTACACAGTCTCCTCTGAACAGTTGATGTTGAGATGTGTCTGTTACTTGAACTCTGTGAAGCATTTATTTGGGCTGCAATTTCTGAAGCTGGTAACTCTAATGAACTTATCCTCTGCAGCAGAGGTAACTGGGTCTTCCTTTCCTGTGGCGGTCCTCATGAGAGCCAGTTTCATCATAGCGCTTGATGGTTTTTGTGACTGCACTTGAAGAAACTTTCAAAGTTCTTCAAATACTTATTTCTCTTTGCTTATTTGAGCTGTTCTTGCCATAATATGGACTTGGTCTTTTACCAAATAGGGCTATCTTCTGTATACCACCCCTACCTTGTCACAACACAACTAATTGGCTCAAATGCATTAAGAAGGAAATAAATTCCACAAATTAACTTTTAAGGTGGCACACCTGTTAATTGAAATGCATTCCAGGTGACTACCTCATGAAGCTGGTTGAGAGAATGCCAAGAGTGTGCAAAGCCGTCATCAAGGCAAAGGGTGGCTATTTGAAGAATCTCAAATATATTTTGATTTGTTTAACACTTTTTTTGGTTACTACATCATTCCATGTGTTATTTCATAGTTTTGATGTCTTCACTATTATTCTACAATGTAAAAAAAAAATTTTAAAATAAAGAAAAACACTTGAATGAGTAGGTGTGTCCAAACTTTTGACTGGTAGTGTGTGTGTGAGATATCTATATATAGAGGTAAAGATGCATGTTCTCACCTGTGTGTTGGTGAGCCCCACGCCCCCAAGGTCCTGGGGGACCTGCAGCCCAAAGGCCCCCATCTCCTTCAGGCTTTCCATGGTGCTGTCCTCCACCTTCTCCAGGGAGTCATTCTTTGCTGGGTCGTTCACCTCCTACAGCACAGCACACCATATATATATATATATATATATGTTTATTGTACAGCACCCACGATTCAGCCAGAGAGACCGAGAGGTCAGTTACAACCTGGGTCATGTTCAGTAGTCGTGAAATGGAGGAAAACAGTCCAAAACGGACAATAATCAAAACTATCTGACCATGTCCAATAAGAAACGCTTGTTTTCATTTTCCGTTTCGAAACATTTTGCTACGGTGTTCCCTAATGAACATGACCCTGATGACAAATCTAGGGGCAGTGAAGAAATGTAGTTTGAAGAACTTAAGAGGAAATGTGTGTTGTGGTTTACTATTTGTAAAATAAAATAAACATTTGGTCACAAAAAAAGAAAAGGTGAATTGACACTCACTTCAAAGAATTTGGAAACGGGTGGGACCAACTCCTGGAGGAACTGGGTCTGCTCCTCGTTCATCACTGGAAAACAGCAAAAAGTACACAACCGTTAGATAATGTTCCAACATATCTCCTTTACATAATAGATAAGAGGCTGCATAACAAGACATGTATGCATTTAAAGCTAAACATGACTAGTCCACTCACCTGAGGGGAAGGGGAACACCTGTGAGGGGTTGATCTGGCCCTTGAACATGTTGACGGCGAAAGACTGGGACTCCTACAAGAGATACATGGAGTCATGTTGATATATCATCAACTGTCATAAAAAAGCAGGAAATGCATACTGTACTTTCTAACATTTCAGAGGTATCTAAGCGCAGCTCTGTCATAATTCTTGATCTTGAACTTTAAAACATGGAGACCCAAACAGTAGCCTACATCCAGTATGGACAACTTCAGTAACGCTGTACTTTATAGGGGGAGGAAGGTTGATCTAAAAACACAGGGGTGAATATGAGTGTTGTTATGACAAAAATAAGTCTTCTACACATACCACGCTCTGTGCCTTCTTGGCAGTGGCTGCCTTCGTTGCTGTGGCACTGCCAACAGCCTGCTTGTCCAGAACTGCCTGTAGAGGAGAGGCAAACACAACCAAGCAATGTCATACAGAGAGGAAAGGGAAGAGATTACAACCACAGAAATATAATATCATTCTAGTTCTATGGTTACAATATGGTCGAGAGATAGGGACAGAAAGAACTGAATTTCCGGACTGAATTTCCGATGGATCATTGATAGGTAGGATCAGGATAATTGAATGGAGTGGAACAGTACTTTAGACAGGGTAAACAAGCAACAATAGTGAAGGGGTTTGTCCAAGCTACAGTAGATGACCCTGCTCCTAAACACAAGGATTAAATATGAAAGAGAAACACAATATATTACTCTTAAGAATCTGAGATGTGACATGTTCATTCAAAAACAAGGCAACATTAAACATGTTGTCCCTCACGAATTATGCAGCGCCCTCCATCTTGGGCCAATTAGTGACAACAATTTAAGCTCAAATGGCACAACATGCTTGTTAAAAGTTCAGAATGTCAGTTGATTACTATAGCGCCTCCCTTGTGCCAATCAGTGTAATTTTGTAAATGGCGGATATCTATGGCAAGACGCATCATTCACCCAAGTTTCATCAGAATCGGGCCAGTGATGTCTGAGATATTGCGTGTGACTAACGTACGAACGGACGGAGACAGATCCAAAGTCCCCCAAATGTTTTAACCCTCCACCATGAAAATAGAAACATTTCAAATAGGGCCGGCAGGTAGCCTAGCGGTTAAAGCGTTGAGCTAGATACCGAAAGGGCGCTGGTTCGAATACCTAAGGTGAATATTCGGTCAATGTGCCCTTGAACAAGGCACTTAACCCTAATTTGCTCCAGGGGTGCCGTATTACTATGGACAGATCCCTTCACACAACCCCTCCAATCAGTCTTGCGAGAGAGAGAGCGCTTGGTGACAGCTTGGTAAGTAAGTTCTGTCTCGTATGACTGCTGGGTGTGTCACTAACCATGATCAAAAAAGGCAACAATAAACGTGTAGTCCACCACGAATGCTGCAGTTCTTCCCTTTGCATGTGACTAACATACGTACCGTTGATTACTATAGCACCCCCCTTAGGCCAATCATTGTAAATGCCAGATCTCTATCGCAAGACACATCATTCATTTAAGTTTCGTCAAAATTTTAGCCAGTGGTGTCTGAGATATCGCGTGGGTTAGCAAGACTCATATCCCTGAGCATGTGTGCCAAATTTCTGCACTGAGTCAAACAAATCAAGAGATATAAACATGTCCATTATAGCGCCACCGTGTGGTTGATATGAATATTCTTGCATATGTTGAGTCTTGGCAGTGTTTGCAACATGTGTACCAAATTGTGTGACAATATGAATATCCTTGACTGATTTATATGTTTTATGCACCAGACCACGCCCATGTGAATGTTTATTGGTCAATAGCGGCTATGATGTTTTCAGTACTAGTCTGGAAGATATTGCGTTGAGAGACCTTTGTCCATAGATACCACATATCAAGTTTCGTACAGATCAGTCATTTGGTGCCAGAAGAGTAGCGTTAAGTGTTTTTCACTTAAAAATTCTTAAATGGCAGAAAATCCATCCATATGGGTCCATGAGGCAAATTTGTTCCTTGTGAGGAGAGGGACCTATTGTCGCATTCTAAACAGCTGGGAACTTGGAAATCTGCGACTTCCGGCTTCAGTGCATTCAAGACATGTTATAATTTAACGGTCCTCCAACTCGAAATTCCAAGTCGGAAACTTGGGCATCTTTCTAGAGTTCCGACTTTCCGACCTGAAGATCACTGACATCATGATTTGACCTCTTTCTCCCCCCCCCCTGTGGATATAGATACTTTTGTACCTGTTTCCTCCAGCATCTTCACAAGGTCCTTTGCTGTTGTTCTGGGATTGATTTGCACCAAAGTACGTTCATCTCTAGGAGATGTATGACGGCTGTGTGGTCCCATGGTGTTTATACTTGCGTACTATTGTTTGTACAGATGAACGTGGTACCTTCAGGTGTTTGGAAATTGCTCCCAAGGATGAACCAGACTTGTGGAGGTCTAAAAAAAAGATTCTGAGGTTTTGGCTGATTTCTTTTGATTTTCCCATGATGTCAAGCAAAGAGGCACTGCGTTTGAAGGTAGGCCTTGAAATACATCCACAGGTACACCTCCAATTGACTCAAATGATGTCAATTAGCTTATCAGAAGCTTCTAAAGCCATGACAAGCTGTTTAAAGGCACAGTCAACTTAGTGTATGTAAACTTCTGACCCACTGGAATTGTGATACAGTGAATTATAAGTGAAATAATCTGTCTGTAAACAATTGTTGGAAAAATTCCTTGTACAAAGTAGACGTCCTAACCGACTTGCCAAAACTATAGTATGTTAACAAGAAATTTGTGGAGTGGTCGAAAAAAATAAGTGTTTTAAGTGTATGTAAACTTCCGACTTCAACTGTAGCCTAGCCCATAGGCCTATATGTTTTGATAAGGTTTGTATCACAACTAAAGCAGCCAAATAACTTCTTAAAATGAAGCACAAGAATCTGCTTTACAACGAGTGTAAAGCATAACTGGCATACATACGCAGTGAGTTTGGGAAAGATAATTTTCACCATAAAAATGCATCTTTATAATAAAAGCATTACATGCAAAATCCCATTTGCGGTCACTTTTGACAATGGTGTTTTCCTGCTAATGGAACATTTGCGCTTACAGCCTACTGCCGTGTGCGCATTGATACACTTATAAATGTGAAGAAATAGCCTAATAGTTAATCAACATTTTAAGCTAAACGTTGTGATCTGTTGCTTCAGGCTCATTATGCTAGTGGTTGTATTAATTTGGGATCTATCGCATCCCACAACTGTCCATGACTATGTTTGGAATATTTATATCTTGCAAAGAATAGGTCAACTTTTGTACTATGGGGGATAGTAGATTGACATAGGCTACTGCTTTTGCTGTTCGTTAGGCCTACTCATCTTGTTGGCTGACGAAAAGTAAATGTGGACAGTTCTTCCAATATCTGTGAGAGGTGCTTCGGCATGCAGCCAGGAGAAGGGAATTATTATTATTATTTCAGTCCAAGGGCAAAACGGCCATTGGCCACAAAAGGCATGGATTTTTTTAGGGGGCATTATGGCCACACAAAGGGGATGCCGCCGGGAAATTTTAGGCATTATCAAGTGCTTGTCAAATTGTGAATGAGACTCATGAAGTGTGTACAGCCTGCGCAAAAAACAAAGCAGAGCTCATGCCTTTCATGCAACTTTTTTCTAATCATCATTAGTCGCATCATGCAGCCTTAGAATGTATTAAAAATCAAAACATATAGACCAACATCTGTATCACAACTAAAGTTACATCACTCTAAATTAAGCATATAGGAGTACCTGTTTCTTTGTTAACCACTCAACACAGAATAGCCACGTGTGCACTCCCTCAAATCGTTTGGAGAAAATATACTTTCTATTTTATTCAGCTATGTTCAATTGTATTCTTTATACTATAAAATAATGCCACGGAATTCTAAGCAAATCTTGTCTGCTAAATGAACTAGTGTAACCCACAGCTACAGTGCATTCGCAAAGTGTTCAGAACCCTTCCCTTTTTCCACATTTTGTAAGTTTACAGCCTTATTCTAAAATGGATTAAATAGATGTTTTCCCTCATCAATCTACACACAATACCCCATAATGACAAAGCAAAAACAGGTTTTTATAAATGTTTGCAAATGTATTAAACAGAAATACCTTATTTACATAAGTATTCAGACCCTTTGCTATGAGACTTGAAATTGAGCCAAGGTGCATCCTGTTTCCATTGATAATCCTTGAGATGTTTCTACAACTTGATTGATTGGAGTCCACCTGTGGTAAATTCAATTCATTGGACATGATTTGGAAAGGCACACACCTGTCTATATAAAAAGGTCCCACAGTTGACAGAGCATGTTAGAGCAAAAACCAAGCCATGAGGTCAAAAGGAATTGGCCGTAGAGCTCCGAGACAGGATTGTGTCGAGGGACAGATCTGGGGAAGGGTACCAAAATATTTCTGCAGCATTGAAGGTCCCCAAGAACACAGTGGCCCCAATCATTGTTAAATGGAAGAAGTTTGGAACCACCAAGACTCTTCCTAGAGCTGGCCGTCCGGCCAAACTGAGCAATCGGGGGAGAAGGGCATTGGTCAGGGAGATGACCAAGAACCTAATGGTCACTCTGACAGAGCTCCTCTGTGGAGATGGGAGAACCTTCCAGAAGGACAATCATCTCTGCAGCACTCCACCAATCAGGCCTTTATGGTATAGTTGCCAGACGGAAGCCACTCCTCAGTAAAGGGCACATGACAGCCCGCTTGGAGTTTGCCAAAAGGCACCTAAAGGACTCAGACCATGAGAAACAAGATTATCTGATCTGATGAAACCAAGATTGAACTCCTTGGCCTGAATGCCAAGTCTCACGTCTGGAGGAAACCTGGCACCATCCCTACGGTGAAGAATGGTGGTGGCAGCAGCATGCTGTGGGGATGTTTTACAGTGGCAGGGACTGGGAGACTAGTCAGGATCGAGGGAAAGATGAACGTAGCAAAGTACTGAGCGATCCTTGATGAAAACCTGCTCCAGAGCACTCAGGACCTCAGACTTGGGCGAAGGTTCACCTTCCAACAGGACAATGACCCTAAGCACACAGCCAAGACAACGCATTAGTGGCTTCGGGACAAGTCTCTGAATGTCCTTGAGTGGTCCAGTCAGAGTCTGGACTAGAACCTGATTGAACATCTCTGGAGGACCTGAAAATAGCTGTGCAGCGATGCTCCCCATCCAACCTGACAGAGCTTGAGAGGATCTGCAGAGAAGAATGGGAGAAACTCCCCAAATACAGGTGTGACAAGCTTGTAGCGTCATACCCAAGAAGACTCGAGGCTGTAATCGCTGCCAAAGGAGCTTCAACAAAGTACTGAGTTAAGGGTCTGAATACTTATGTAAATGTGATATCCTGTTTTTTTGTATATATATATACACACATTTGCAAAATAAATCCAAACCTCTTCGCTTTGTCATTATGGGGCATTGTGTGTAGATTGAGGGGGAAAAAAACTATTTTAGCAATTTTAGAATAAGGCTGTAATGTAATTTTTTTTGGAACAAGTCAATGGGTCTGAATACTTCCCGAATGCACTGTATATGGCATAGCCAGATCAGGGCCTAACATAAGGAAAACTCAGAGTATGCTATTCTGTTCTTCTGAAATAAATTAGATTTTCTTCATATCATGTTTCTTTAGACCTAATGGATTTATTGTGATGGTGTAGGCTATATTACATGGATTTATTAGACTTTTTAAAATGTAGATATTCCAAAGGTCTGCATCAGTGGCTTGTAGGCTATGTGTGGAAGCCAGGAGATGCTAAATGTGTTTGTTCATTAACAATCAATTACTGTGAGACCGGCAGTTATTTGCTTGACAATCACCAGCTGACAATTTAATGACCGCCACAGCCCTAGCGTTGACAACCATGTAAATCTCTCTCGGACAAGGTGACTTTTATCAATATGTTCGGCTCTATTTACTCTCCGATTCTAAAACGCTAATTAGCATTAAAGTAGACATCATGCAAAACTACAAATCCCTGCAAGCTCCTGCATGCCATCTCTAGCTGACACCTTTGCTAACAGGTAGTGTCAATTTAAATCTTGCACAAGACATTTCACAGAATTGTCTATTTAGATTTTTGCCAATTTTTTCATTACTACACGTAGCTAACATTATAGTTAATCCAGAGATTCTTACCAGTCTCGTCGAGATCATCATGGCATTTGTAGTTCTTTACGACAGCCACATTAGCAGCTAATTAGCATTTCATTTTGGGGGGTTAAATACAGGCAAATATATTGATAAAAGTCACCTTGTCTGAGAGAGATGTACATGGTTATCAAAACGTCACACCAGAGTAAGCCTACACAAAACACAGCTCTTATTTTAAGTGTTTCTACAATCCCCTATGGGAAAAATGAATGGTGAAAAACAATTGGAACCATTTCTCTGTTTGACCACTAGGTTTTATGGTTATTATGACTCATACTGTGGTACCCTATTGACATGGTCAATGGTCAGACACATGTACTGTGTGCCCTGCTGTCCCCTGTCTATCATTGAATGGAAATAGAACTCAGCAGCACCACCACCACCACCACCACCTATAGCCTACTTTGGAGTCACGTGGGTCCACGGTGAACTTTCCCCCACTTCTCGATGCCATTACATATCCTGATGGATATGGTAGATGCACATAGGTTACCTCCGCTGGAAGCAATGTCATCCTTTTATCAGTTACAACACTTTATTGATTATCTAATTTGGATAACATTTTATTAATACAACATTATATGACTCAGAATCGTTTGTTTCAACACCTGGAGGCATTACCTATGAGCTGTCAAGACTGGCAACATAAACGCTCCTGTATAGAATTATCACTGTTAAAATGTTTGATCATTCATACAATGTTTACAATTTTACCGGGAAAACGAGTACGTGGCTGTGAACGTTCTATCTTATGACAGCGCCCTGTCCTTACATTGCCTACCTCCGCGGCCTGAGAAGAAGCATAGAGGCGGGCATTCTGCGCGGCGGCTGCTCGGATCTGCTTCTGAACCCTACACGAATAGAAATATGAAATGTAAATCATTGAATGTATATAAATAAATAATTTTAAAGCTGTTTTGTCAGTTAAAATGTATTTACTTACCCCGAAAAGGCAGGGGAGATACGAAGTGCTGTGCACAAAGCAGGAGTCAAGCTCACTTTGCCCAAAAGCATATTGAACGACCAACTTTACAGTCTTCAAAAATAGGTTAAAGAGATCTGGTTGATCTTGTGTCCCGAATAAGCGCTCCAAATGGACGACTTTGTCCTTCTGAGTCAAAATCCGTGACTTATTCAAGTAGACTACTGCCGTTGTGTAACCTAGAAAAAATTCCACTTAAGAAAATGGCAAGAGCATAGAAATAATGATTATAGACACACCAGCCGCCTGTCTGACCGGGTCTAGACAGCACATAGGAAGACTTGTCTAGCGTAATGGAATCTATGCGCAGGACACAGCGAAAATACGGAAGTGTAGGCTGCATAAAGCGGTGAGAAGGAGGAGCTCCGTGGACCCTTCGTGTCCGGAGGTAATTTAGCAATTCATTGTAGCCATTGGCGCTCTGTTCAAAAACCAGTCAGAAACGTCCAGCTACGCAAATAACGCCGGCAGATCTCAAAACTGAACTTCCGTCTGTGTTAACGCCTTGATCACACCGACAGTGTAGGAGCAAAACGGTACACAGCATCATCTGGATATGTGTGGAACAAAAGTTAATCATTCACCTTCTGCTACCATTTCTGTCAAGCCAATCGACGCATACAGTTTAACGCAAACGTTCGATAAATCCAACACATGCACTACACAGAACGCACTGCAACGCAATGCTGCAAGGCAAACGCAGCGTTCCATTGGAAATGAATGTACTTCTGGTGTACCAAAAAAAATTACTGTCGGTATGACCGAGGCATAAGCAGCAATGAAATCCTTCGCATTTTTTATTTTTTGTAACCTTTATTTAACTACGCAAGTCAGTTAAGAACAAATTCTTATTTACAACTGGCCGTGATTGGGAGTCCCATAGGGCAGCGCACAATTGGCCCAGGGTCGTCCGGGTTTGGTCTGTGTAGGCCCTCATTGTAAATAAGGGTTTGGTCTGTGTAGGCCCTCATTGTAAATAAGAATTTGTTCTTAACTGACTTGCCTAGTTAAATAAAGATAAAAAATAATAATTGTGGAGAGGCTCAATAACATGCAACTGATCACCACAAGCTTCAGTGCCTACGAGCTTAGACAACAACCACTCGATTTTACAGGAACGCATGAATAATCCTTCGATATTCCATTATAGGGGTATTTAATCATTGGCAAGTAGCCACAGTCCGGTGAAATGTGTGTATCATGAACAATTACTGATACAGTGATCATGACCCATGGAGAACAGTTTTGCCTGTCAGGATCTGGCCATTTCTGATGAGCCTATAAGCTACATCAATAATTAGGTATGACATAAAAAACAGAGCTCTGACCATGGACCTATGAGCATATGAGGTGACCTTGAAACTCTCTGAGGCGCAACCGCGTCTCACAACTCAATCGCTGGTTAAACTGTTTTCTGCCCCTCCCAAAAGATAGAATTTGTAGATAATTGGCCCTCTTTCGGGGACTTACCCACAAACAGGACCAAGCCTGGCCTGCTGAGGAGTGACGGACTCCATCCTAGCTGGAGGGGTGCTCTCATCTTATCTACCAACATAGACAGGGCTCTAACTCCTCTAGCTCTACAATGAGATACGGTGCAGGCCAGGCAGCAGGCTGTTAGCCAGCCTGCCAGCTTAGTGGAGTCTGCCACTAGCACAGTCAGTGTAGTCAGCTCAGGGATCAATGAACTAATCATTGATCATAATCTTGATGTGATTGGCCTGACTGAAAAATGGCGTAAGCCTAATGAATTTACTATGTTAAATGATGCCTCTCCTCCTGCGTGTCCCGCAAAGGCAGAGGTGTTGCTAACATTTAATATAGCAAATTTCAATTTACCCCCTCCCCCCCCCAAAAAAAAGGACTGCGTTTTCGTCTTTTGATCTTCTAGTCATGAAATCTATGCAGCCTACTCAATCACTTTTTATAGCTACTGTTTACAGGCCTCCAGGGCTGTATACAGAGTTCCTCACTGAGTTCCCTGAATTCCTAATCGGACCTTGTAGTCATGGCAGATAATATTCAAATTTTTGGTGACTTTAATATTCACATGGAAAAGTCCACAGACCCATTCCAAAAGGCTTTCGGAGCCATCATCGACTCAGTGGGTTTTGTCCAACATGTCTCCGGACCTACTCATTGCCACAGTCATACCCTGGATCTAGTTTTGTCCCGTGGAATTAATATTGTGGATCTAAATGTTTTTCCTCATAACCCTGGACTATCGGACCACCATCTTATTACGTTTGCAATCGCAACAAATAACTGCTCAGACCCAAACCAAGGATCATCAAAAGCAGTGCTATAAATTCTCTCACAACCTAAAGATTCCTAGAGGCCCTTCCAGACTTCCTCCACCTACTCAAGGACGTCAGAGTGCAAAAATCAGTTAACGACCTAACTGAGGATCTAAATTTAACCTTGTGTAATACCCTAGATGCAGTCGCACCCCTAACATTTGTCACAAGAAACTAGCTCCCTGGTATACAGAAAATACCCGAGCCCTGAAGCAAGCTTCCAGAAAAATAGCACTCCACCAAACTGGAAGTCTTCCTACAAGCTTGGAAAGAAAGTACAGTGCAATATCAAAGAGCCCTCACTGCTGCTCGATCATCCTATTTTTCCAACCTAATTGAGGAGAATAAGAACAATCCAACATTTCTATTTGATACTGTCAAAAAGCTAACTAAAAAGCAGCATTCCCCAAGAGAGGATACCTTATTCAATGAAAAGATCATGATCATTAGAAAGCAAATTACGGACTCCTCTTTGAATCAATGAAGACACAAGTTTTCTTAATCCTGTATCTCTTGACACATTTATGAAAATAGTCATGGCCTTTAAACCTTCAAGCTGCAGACTGGACCCTATTCCAACTAAACTACTGAAAGAGCTACTTCCTGTGCTTGGCCATCCTATGTTGAACATAAAACATGTCTCCCTATCCACTGGATGTGTACCAAACTCACTAAAAGTGGCAGTAATAAAGCCTCTCTTGAAAAAGCCAAACCTTGACCCAGAAAATGTAAAAAACTAATCGGCCTGTATCGAATCTCCCATTCAAATCAAATCAAATCAAATTGTATTGGCCACATGCGCCGAATACAACAGGTGCAGACATTACAGTGAAATGCTTACTTACAGCCCTTAACCAACAAAAATAAAACAACAACAAAAAAAGTGTTGAGAAAAAAAGAGCAGAAGTAAAATATAATAACAGTAGGGAGGCTATATATACAGGGGGGTACCGGTGCAGAGTCAATGTGCGGGGGCACCGGCTAGTTGAGGTAGTTGAAGTAATATGTACATGTGGGTAAAGTTAAAGTGACTATGCATAAATAATTAACAGAGTAGCAGCAGCGTAAAAGGATGGGGTGGGGGGGACAGTGCAAATAGTCTGGGTAGCCATGATTAGCTGTTCAGGAGTCTTATGGCTTGGGGGTAGAAGCTGTTGAGAAGTCTTTTGGACCTAGACTTGGCACTCCGGTACCGCTTGCCGTGTGGTAGCAGAGAGAACAGTCTATGACTAGGGTGGCTGGAGTCTTTGACAATTTTGAGGGCCTTCCTCTGACACCGCCTGGTATAGAGGTCCTGAATGGCAGGAAGCTTGGCCCCAGTGATGTACTGGGCCGTACGCACTACCCTCTGTAGTGCCTTGCGGTCAGAGGCCAAGCAGTTGCCATACCAGGCGGTGATGCAACCAGTCAGGATGCTCTCGATGGTGCATCTGTATAATTTTTTTAGGATCTGAGGACCCATGCCAAATCTTTTCAGTCTCCTGAGGGGGAATAGGCTTTGTCGTGCCCTCTTCACGACTGTCTTGGTGTGTTTGGACCATGATAGTTCGTTGGTGATGTGGACACCAAGGAACTTGAAGCTCTCAACCTGTTCCACTACAGCCCCGTCGATGATATTTTTTTTTTCCTGTAGTCCACAATCATCTCCTTTGTCTTGGTCACGTTGAGGGAGAGGTTGTTATCCTGGCACCACACGGCCAGGTCTCTGACCTCCTCCCTGTAGGCTGTCTCATCGTTGTCGGTGATCAGGCCTACCACTGTTGTGTCGTCGGCAAACTTAATGATGGTGTTGGAGTCGTGCCTGGCCATGCAGTCATGGGTGAACAGGGAGTACAGGAGGGGACTGAGCACGCACCCCTGAGGGGCCCCCGTGTTGAGGATCAGTGTGGCAGATGTGTTGTTACCTACCCTTACCACCGGGGGGGGCCCGTCAGGAATTCCAGGATCCAGTTGCAGAGGGAGGTGTTTAGTCCCAGGATCCTTAGCTTAGTGATGAGCTTTGAGGGCACTATGGTGTTGAATGCTGAGCTGTAGTCAATGAATAGCATTCTCACGTAGGTGTTCCTCTTGTCCAGGTGGGAAAGGGCAGTGTGGAGTGCAATAGAGATTGCATCATCTGTGGATCTGTTGGGGCGGTATGCAAATTGGAGTGGGTCTAGGGTTTCTGGGATAATGCTGTTGATGTGAGCCATGACCAGCCTTTCAAAGCACTTCATGGCTACAGACGTCAGTGCTACGGGTCAGTAGTCATTTAGGCAGGTTATCTTAGAGTCCTTGGGCACGGGGTGGTCTGCTTGAAACATTCCTCTCAAAATGTTTTGAAAAAGCTGTTGTGCAGCAACTCACTGCCTTCCTGAAGACAAATAAAGTATACAAAATGCTTCAGTCTGGTTTTAGACCCCATCATAGCACTGAGACTGGACTCGTGAAGGTGGTAAATTACCTTTTAATGGCGTCGGACCAAGGCTCTGCATCTGTCCTCGTGCTCCTAGACCTTAGTGCTGCTTTTGACACCATCGATCACCACATTCTTTTGGAGAGATTGGAAACCTTAATTGGTCTACACAGACAAGTTCTTGCCTGTTTTAGATCTTATCTGTCGGAAATATATCAGTTTGTCTCTGTGGATGGTTTGTCCTCTGACAAATCAATTGTACGTTTCGGTGTTCGTCAAGGTTCTGTTTTAGGATCACTATTGTTTTCACTATATATTTTACCTCTTGGGGATGTCAATCGGAAACACAATGTTAACTTTCATTGCTATGCGTATGATACACAGCTGTACATTTCAATGAAACAAGGTGAAGCCCCAAAATTGGCTACCCTGGAAGCATGCGTTTCAGACATAAGGAAGTGGATGGTGGCAACTATTTTACTTTTAAACTCGGACAAAACAGAGATGCTAGTTCTAGGTCCCAAGAAACAAAGATCTTCTGTTGGATCTGAGAATTAATCTTGATGGTTGTATAGTCGTCAAAAAGAAAAACTGTGAAGGACCTCTG